ATGGGCGCGTTCAAGAAACAACGGTTGTGTTCAGCAACAGCTGGCGCTTGAGAGTTTCAAGAAGCAGTGGCAGGTATATCCTACCCATTTCTCTGTTTCTGAGTAGTCCCCACTATGACTATCGACCCTTTGCGCGTCCCAGCCTCCGAGGGAGAAGGAGTAGACGACGACGAAGAAGCTTCGGAGCCGGAGCGCGATGCTGACGGAGACGTCCACATGTCTGGGCCTGGGCCAAGTGGTGGCGGCGCTGCCGGGAAAAAGCGGCAAACAAAGGCTGACTTGTACAAGTTCTTTTCAGGAAAAGGCCCGAATCGCATGGTTTTCAGCTTCCTCAACGACCGATCCCTGCAACTGTGCGCTCTCATCATTACTCACATCAGCGGGTCACTGGAGAATGAGTACTGCCAGGACTTGGAAGCAATGCAGCAAGGCCCAATTGGGCAAGGTGTGTGGGCTGCTGAGCGGGCGGCTGGAACACGCTGGTGGCACACAGCCAAATGCATTTGCGATGCTACCTACGGAAGTGATCTGTTACAGCAACTGCGGTTTCGGCGTACCCAGGAGCAAGTGCCTCTTGACTCCGATCTGGCTTGGCTTAAGTTGGAGAAGGAAACCGCAAAGGTTGCTGTTGACTTCGGCCACGAGTTGCTGTGCCGGTTCGTGTGGGCTCACATTCCCTTCATGCTCAACTTGCCGCAGGCCTTTGCTGTCTACCTCTTGCCCGAGCCTGCCGGTCGACAACAAGCGCTGGGTTTCTTGCAGCCTGTGCTGGATGCAGTTTGGGCGGCGGAGAAACATTGGCTCGAGTGTCAATCTACTGACGTGGACAAAGCAAGCTCCATGGAAGCTGTGTTCAACCAGATTGGCTGGTGCCACCATCAACTTGCTCGAGAAGTGCTGGCGTGCATGCTACAGTGCGGGTTCGCTCCGGACAATCTTCGCTGCCGGCGTCTTGCTGCTAAACTCTTCCGGTCTTCGTCTACGACCAAAAATTGCTTGGAAGATGTGTTCTCGCATCTCCAAAGCATGGTTGGAAAGGGCACTTCCAACAAGCGCATGAGCGACTGGAGCCGCTACTTCTACGCAACGACTGCCAGAAGCCCGCGTTCTGGTGGCATGCAGACGGTGCTCCCTGATGCGCAAGACTGGGACGCAGGTTCCCACACCGCTTTCGCAATGCTGCAAAACTTCGCCCCAATGTTCGACACCAACAGCACAGCTATGCCAGAGCCAGCAACGGAAGACAGCATTCTTTGGCCGAAGCCAAGTGCGCTGCAGAAAAAGAAGAAATGGAAAGCAGCAGGACCAGAGTCAAACCAAAAAGGAGCTGCCGCCATGATCTACTTGCACAACGATGCCCATACACGCTGGGCCAACTTGGGCAACGTGTGGGCAAGTCCCTTGGCTGACCCGCCCACACTCAGTTCAATGCTTTCCAATCTTTGGGTCCCCTGTCAAATTGTTCCTGACTTTACAGTGCTGGTGCTGTCTTGCTCTTGACCCAGGCTGCCTTCTCCAGAAAAGAGAAATTTATTTGCACACGGAGACTGGGGACTACTTCATGTGTTTGGGATTCAGAGCCTACGCGTCAGCAGCTGTGAAGTGCAAGGCAGTCTCTGCGCAGGGACAAGACCCTTGACAAACATGACCTAACATCTTTGCGTTTGATCTACTCTAAACAAACCAACACCACTCCTGCTCGATGTGTTCTGCAGGGTCAGCTGACCGTTTCGCTTGAAATAAACACCTCACCCATTCATTCGCAACACCAATCAATCGCAATGATTCGTTTGAGGTGCTTTTGAGAGTCGACTTCGCGAACGACGTGCGGCCTGACTTCATGTTCAACTACACGGTGGAGGAAAGCAAATGCTGCTTTCGCCACATGCCAACCGATGTGGTTCACCCAGCCTGCCTACCTCCAGAATTGCCACGGGGCATCTTTTTGCGGGTGACCAACTTGGAAGGTGAATGGTTGCTCAAGGCTGCTGTGAGAATTGGGAGCTACTTCACAGTTCCTCAACTGGACAAAATTGCTGAACAGCTTCGTTTGCCTGAACTTGCAAAAGGTTCTGGAGCTCATGGCAGCCCAATCAAGATTGACAAAGCGCGGCAACTGGTGGAACACTTGTTCAAAGACAGTGAGTCTTCCGAACGCAAGCAAGAAATGATAGCAGGCATCATGAACATGTCAACAGCGCAATTACGAGAAAAGGAGCGAAGCATTCTTGAAATGTGCGAACATTTGGATGTGGAAAACCAGCAATGCTTTGATCAGATGAAGCGATGGGCAACAGACAAGCTGGTAAAGAAAATCCGGCTTGAGGGCCAACAGAGCATACTTGAGAAACAGCAAAAGGCCAACAAGTTCCGACAGCGCTTTGCTGCTTCCCTGCAGTTGCGTGCCAAAGGCAAAGGGAAAGGCAAGGCCCAACATGGGCCTCCACCCGCTCCTGCTGAAGCCAACCCTGGACCAGCCCCAGCAGAACCAGAAACACCAATGATGAGCCACCGTGAACACCCTCCAGGTGTTGTTCGAGTGGTTGAATCCCGCCGAGCACATGTGACGCCGCCAGAATTCAAGGACCTGCTTCCTGGAGGAGGGGCGTACGCTAGCCAGTTCACGCCATTTAGAAACGATGTCCCAGGAAGCAACTACTACCGTGTTGGGTACAAGATCAGCGCCTTGGACCTGGTTGCAACATAACACCAGCTTTAGTTTGGAAAACGGTGGCCAAAGAAGTGTTGCAAACTTCGGTGACAACACAATTGATGGCTGGTCGATGCCCCTTCCTTTTAAACGCCTGGACATCTGATTGCTTCCAACTAAGGTGGGGCTCCTGGCCCTCAGTCGTGTTCCAGAGCTTGGCCTACTAAGCAGTGCGCTACGGAATTGGAAGCTTTGACGATTGTCCTGAAATGGACATATGACCGATGGAACAAGAACAACAAGAAGACACCCTTCGAAATGCCCTTTGGTTCGAATTGAGACTCAACCCGCATTTTTTCTCTACGGTTTCCCTTTTCATTACTTAGTTGCCCACTGACCTGCGAAAACTGAGGCCGGAGCAGAGTGTGCTGGAAGAGTTCATCCGCCATCAGTTGTAGCAAGCTACCAGTGCACAAGCCACTGACGGGACTTGTTGATACAAACTTGGATCGTGTCAAAGATGGAAAACCACAACGCTACGTGCTATTGCCGGATGACTCATGTGTCCTATGTTGATGTTGAGTGGGTTTACGGTTTGGGCGGTCCGTCAAATGTGACTGCTTTGAAGTGAAGCGCCATGAAGCCCTCATCATGCTCTGATGGGAACAGTTGCACGCTTCACTTTTCATGTTCGAGCCTTGGTTGAGCCACCAATTGGTGCTTCCACATAGCGTGAACAATGACATGCCTCATTTCATATGTAGGAATGTCATTATTGTGGCAAGGTTAATTAAGCTTAATTAAGCCTAACTAATCCTAATTAAGCAAAAGTGGATTTTGCTTAATTAGGCTTAATTAGTCTTAATTAGGCTTAATTAGGCTTAATCAAGCTTAATTAGCCTTGCCGGGTGGTGTGAGGACTACAGGGTCCTTAAGACTTTGGGGGGGGGAGTTGAGGGGGGGAGGGTCTCCCACTTGGTGAATTGTGCACTGGCAATTGCTACACCAAATTGCCAGGCAACATAGTGAGTGTGCCCGTGTCATCCTCTTAACAACAGCAATTTCAGGGAGGAAACCAAAGGCTCTCCCCGCAGAACCCAGGCTCTTAGAAGGTTCGAGCAGCGGCGACAACCATGGCGATGATCACAGCGAAAATGATAATGGATCAAAATTCTGAGCAGAGCCGCATTGAGAAACGCGTACAGCTGGCCTGGGCGTCGGTGCGCGAGCACGGCTCTCACATTTATTCACTTATGGCACCCAGCAGGGCCTATCGGGGGTGCTCTCAGAGGCAGGCCGATGAACTGATCCGTGTTGCCCAGGTGAGTGGTTTTGCCTCGGGACGAGTGCACGGCGCCATCACTCAGCCTGAACTCAAGAGCTGAGCATCTGGCTGTCTTCGCTGAGATGGAAGCCCTCTGGACCTGTTTTTTTCCGCAATAGGTCATCACCGTTCCCCCCTCCACGCAACGAGAGAAAGCCCAGGTTGCCCTCCAAGGGCAATTTCCAAAATGTGTTCCTTTGGTTGCCTTCAAAGCAACCCCTAGTTGTTGGTTGCCCAACTCAAAATGGGTCAATTTTCCTGGCGGCGTCCCCCGCAAGCTGCGTCTTTTTGTTTGAAACTTGTTGGCGCGCTTGAGGGAAAAATGCAAAACAAACCACCCCACTTTTGAGGCTCCCCATCGGACAGTCTCGGTTTCCTCTGCCGGGCAGCATGGGACATTGGTGTGGGCCACGATGGACAGCCCCACATGCTCATGGAAGTGCAGGCTCACAGAGGGCGAAGCAGCAACCACCTGGCATTGGGCAAGTCGAACCCCTTTGGGTCTCCCGTTTGGTTTCCTTCTGCGTTGGTTCCCTTCTTCTCCCTTTAAGCCTAAGCCAATCTTTCTTACGCAGCAACATTGACATCAGGGCTGAACGATTCAACACCTTGTTGACCCCACGGTTTAAGGCACTGTTGTTTAAACAATCTCAGCTTGGCTTGGGCACGGTTGTCTAAACGCAGTTTGCCCCACCCTGAAAAGCACACCAACTTTGGAATCCAATGCACTGGACGTATCAAGGGGCAGCTCCCCTTTTGAAAGGGAAGTACCGATTTTTAGTTTGATTCCTATCTGATTCGTGAGTCCTCCAGAAACCACGCTTAACATTACATGGGGGGGTCTTTTTGAGGGGATCCTTTTGGGTGTCGTTTTAAAGGGAAGCCAAAGGAAACCGGGCCCGTTGTCTCCTATTCTGAGACACCTCCCGCGTGCTTGCTGGTTTGGGGTCAAATAAGCCTGCGCAATCTATTTCCACCACAGCTTTAGCGCACGAAAGTCGTGCGCCATTGGTTTGCAGTATCCGCCTAATCCTCAACGTTCAGGGTCTGAAAGTGCGCGCCGCCCCTGCTTGTATCCGTGTCAAAAAGAGGGGCCCGATTCTCCTTCAACGCATTGCATGCAAAACGCGCCAGGGGGTCTGGTATGCCCAGCCTTTCCAACTCCTGCGTGCTCAAACTGACCAGAAGAGGCTGGCCATTTGCACCACACCGTCCGATTGGTGAGCATTTTTGGGAGAGTTGGCGCCCTTATGGTCCCATAGCGCCAAGGGAGTTTGGGGTGCCCTTCCCACCTTTCGCTGCGGCTTCGAGGCTTCATGCTCTAAAAAAAAGGCGGAATGTCCTTTGGTTTTACACCAGCCCCAAATAGGGCTAACTCTCTCTATCTCTCTCTCGCATCAGAGGTAAGCTCCTCGCAGCACCCCAAATAGGCCACACCAAAAAACAACCCCACCCCCCGAATTTCTCGCGAGTGAGGCGCGTCTCTGTCCTGGGGCTCCGCGACCCCGGACAAGGTGAGCAGCTTGGGGCTGGCCAGCACCCCGGCCGCCAGGATCACCTGGCTCACACGTTGCAGGGTGCCGAGGTGGTGGTATTTGTTGGTTTGAAAAAAAGGTACAGGAAGGAACAGGAGTCCTGAACCACTTCACATTTTGGTGTGTGACGATTTGGTGGTATTTGTTGGTTTAAACAAGATAAAGGAATGTACAAAGTCCTGAACCATTTCAGATTTTGGCTTGCATGTAGTTTCCAAAGTGCATTTGGTGGTTTCCTCACAACCAACCGGAATTTCGGACTTCTCAATATTTGGAACATGGTTTCCGCTGGTTGACTATCGTGGTAGTACAAGAGTCCTTAAAAACTTCCCTTCTTGGGGGTTACAAATAAGATTCCTCTCGGTAGGGCAAGGTATGAAGAGGGCAAAGGAACACCGGGATTGCCTGGCAGTCTTCTCTTAAGCTGGGGCCCTAAGTTCTCAAAACTTCTCGGGGTGGGAACCCCCTTCAAACCACCGCTTGGAGGGTGTTGATCATGCCACTTGGGCTCATGTGCTGGTTCAACTAAACTCAAATATGACCCCAAAGAGAAAGGTGCGGAAACACTACTTTTGGCTCATATTCAGCTGGGTGCGTCTTAGAAGAAAGGAGGCTGCGTCTTAAGAAGAAATGAGGCTGCAGCCGTTGCCATTTTTGGGGGTGCTGTGGGTTTGCGCAACCAAATTGAGCACCACCCGAAACCCATTGATGTTTTGTTGTACCAAAATGGTTAGCTTCAATCAAACAGATGGTAGACCATCTACTAAAATGGCCAAAACGGGGGGGGGGGGGGGTGGGGGGGGGCTGCTCAAATGCGAAAATGAGCCGTTTCTCAACCCCATTGGATCGACCCGTGAGGTTCCTTATGGTATGAAGCCCACCACCGGCAAAGCATGGCATTCTTCAAGCACGAGCTTTTGTTGGGTCTATCCGACTTTCCATCTGAGGAGAGGATGTTCCAGTTTTCGTAGAATCTTCAGTTTCTTACCAACATCACCGTCCAATGTGCAACATTGACAACATAAGTGAGTTGTGCAATCCTCCACGGAGCCCATCTGCCATACCGCTCCAGTTCTTGCTGTAAGATCACTGAGCCAATTTCAGACACCCAGCTTTTCAAGCCACCTGGCGACCCAGATTGCCCAAGGCTCCTTCACAACAGGATATCAAGAACTTGGGCCTCCTGCTTGGCTCGAAGACGCAGCCGCTTGCTGACGGCCTGTGCACGGCGTCGAAATGCAAATGCCACCTGCCATGCTCACTTGTGTGTCAAAACCTGCCAGACTCCATTGACAGGCTTCCTTTGGCCTTGAAAACTGACCACGGGGTGCCTAGTTCGTGACACTGCCATTTGGCTACGTGTCGTCCAAACCAAAAATGGTGGCTGTCCTGTTGGTTCTCCTTTACAAAGGCGACCAAATGCAAAAAGGGCACCCCCAAAAGCCCACACACACAGACACAGACACATGTTTGGGTTGAATGCCTCCCATGCAAATTCCGAATGGTGCGCCTTCGACGGGTTGCCATCTGCTGCAATCGAGACATCAACTCCGACTGCCTGGCAACATTGCGTGCCGGGGCTCACATTGGCAATCACCTCAAATTGGGACCTCCTGTTGGTGGGCCACCATGTCGATAGGGTGCCTCATGTTTGGGCTGCCTCTCAAGGGAAAGACAAGCTCAGCTCCAAGCCATGCTTGACAAGAATGGTCTCGAGCTCCCACCTCGTTCCCCTCGAAGACGATCCGTTCTGCGAAGGCGTGCGTCAAGGTTTCCAGCCTGCACCCAGGATCTCACCCCGTCCGCTCAAGGCTCGCTCGGAGTGTCAGAAAGATCAGCCTTGCCTTCTTGATGAGTGTGATCATCCCCCCAGTTTCTCAATCGCATGCTGCGAAATATGTGGGCTGCACACGACCCCAATCTGAAAGCCACTACAAACGGGACCCCTTTCGTAATCCGAGGCAATCTTGGCGATTGCCTTTGAGCAGCCCCGAATATGGCTTCAGCCCCTTCGCCTGTGGCCTGCTGAGCCATGCAAAGGCGCAGCCAAGTTTTGGTAGGTCGTGGACCGAGGTCGTCCCGCTGCCTTGAAGCAAAGTGCAACAAGAAAGCCTCTTGAGCACTGGATTTTTCCGGCCACTTGTCAAAACTCGGTGACCTTTCGGAGGACAGGTTTAACAGGGAACCAGGAATTTTACACGATGCCAAGCATTTGGATGAGGTTTCTACAGACACACTCACTCACTCTCTCTCTCTCTCTCTTTCTGCAACACGCACACACACACACACACACACACACACACACACACACACACACACACACACACACACACACACACACACACACACACACACACACACACACACACACACATGGGCATGCGCGCACGACAGCAAGGGCAAGCACATGACAAGAATGTGATGCTAGGTGGAACCTCCTTGTTAGAATCATTTGGGCTTCTGTTGGGGCATAGTCAAAAGAGACTGTCAACTAATTACTTACTCTTTCATTCCACCTAGTTTCAACCGGGAACCAAGCGGTTCAATCATTTCCACACACACACAGCCAACAACCCCACAAAAAGGGTGGCATCTTGAAACACTTCTGCAAACGTCTGTCTTGGGCCGTCTCGGTGCGGGCAAGATGCCAGGTACATGCGAGACACGCGTGTGGGTTGGCACCTGGGGTGACCGCAGCCTCAGCTCGGCCCGACTCGTCTTAAGTCTTCCAACCTGCTAGATGGGTTTCTCGTCTTAACATCGGGGAACCCCCATTTGCCATGGCTGGCTTCCGCCGCTGCTGCATGGGTGTAGAACCGTGGCCGCCGCTGCATGGGTGCTACTCTCAGATGACGCGAGTTGCAACTCGGAAAAGCATGCGTGGCAAGCTGTTCGTCACCAGGGGCAGGTTGTTGTCACAGATCTTGCGCATTTGGGGTTGACACGGCTAACGCGTCAACCTGCCCAACCCAGATACATCTTGAGCTTCTTTTGCATGAGCAAGCGGGGATATGAGCGAGAAGTGCAGCAGCAAGCTGCCGTTTTTGCTGCCGAGCAAGGCATTGTTGTTGAATGCTTGTCCATCAGCGGCGCAGCGCCGAACTCGCAGAGTGTAGAGTTTGTTGAAAAGCTCATCCGACAGGGGTGGGTTGCAGCATGTGTGGCTGTGCCGCCTAGCGACACTTGGGTCACAGACTGCGGAGCGTGCCCAGCTATTCAGAGCAGGCGACGCCTTCTCAGGTCCGAGGAAGAGCCATGGGGTGTTGCGCAACTTGGCAAGAAAGGGGATTGGCAGGTGCGTGCAGAGTCAGCCTGGGTACAGTATGCGCTCCGCACCTTTCTGCTGTGCGTCTCATGCGGCGTTGCGTGTGTTGTTGGGCATCCTGCGCCTTCCGACAAATCTTCACACCCATCAGTCTGGAAGCTGACTCTGACACGCTTCCTGAGTCAGCTGCCAGGTGTAGACTTGATTGGAGTTTCGGAAGCCTGGTACGCTGAGCAAAGTACTGAGTTGATTTACTTGCTTTCAGTCGGTTTGCCAACACTGCTTGAGCGCCTTGACAGCGCAGCACGTCCTGAGCCTGAGCATTCGTTTACACCGGCTGGCAGCGAATCGTCAGCTACGGTTTGCAGGGAGCGCCCGGCCAGACTTTGCAAGGCGTTGGCCGCATCTCTTTGTGACCGTGCCATCAGCCTTTGCACTGCGCCGGGGCCAATCAAACTTGCACTAGCTGACGAAGTGTTTCTCTCTTCTTTGCATGTGCCGTTTGACCCTTACGATTTGACGGTGTGAGCCCCAGTTTTGTGCATGCAATCAGGCCTGCGGGAGGAGTAGTGTGCGCACGCGCGCAGACACGTGCACTTGCTGTTGCCGTTTTTGGGCCTGATCTCCCCCCCCCCCCCCAATAAATCAGCTGCGCCCACAGAGGCCCCGTGCGAACTTGAGTGAGTGAATGGCTGGCTTCCTTTGGCTTTCCCCGAAAAGACGAAAACACATCCAGGTGGGCGGGTGTCAAGAGGGGAACATACAAGATTCTCCTCCTGATTTCCTTTAAACCAACCTCAGAAGAACCACACGCTCACATATTTCGAGCTACAAAAGGGAACTCGCTTTGCCATGGCAACCAAAAGGTGTTGTTTGAAGCCGCTGGAAGGGGGGAACATTTACAAAGCCCTTCAAATCCAGTTCAGGGAAATTCTTGTTTCAACAGATTCAGATCCTGGTGCTCCTGATTCGTGGTGACTAATCTTGGCCATCCCAAACGGGTCAGCCCAATTCAAGGAGACAACTTACATGAGAAATCATGGCTCAAGGCGTGCCCCTTGCATTGCCATGTGCACCTGCAACTCGGATACTTGCCTTTCAACAGCTACACTGCCATTGGGTTATGGTCAAAACCCCAGAACCTGACATGGTCGTGTCTTTGTTGGAGCAACCGTTTTGGGCTTTCCCACCATTTCGGGGCTCCTTATTTTTGAGCCAAGCGCCAGGCCCGCATCTGCATGAGGCCCCCGCCCATTGACCGCCAAATGCCGCCGATGCCGTGTGTGGTGACGTTGCCGTGGGGGTCCACCCTGGCTCTCTGGTGGTGTTCCCCGAGGCCTCCCCTTGGCTCCCCTGAAATGAAGGGCCGACATCTGGGCGCGCTTTCTTTCCGAGGGGAACCCTTTTGTTGGCTTTGAAGGAAACGCCAAACGTCTTTGGTCGGTTTTGAAGGAAACGCCCAAAGCACATGGCGAGCACCTATTTCTGGAAGGGACATGCGAGCGTGGCTCCAAATGGGGGGGACCCTCCAAAAAAGACGCCCCACAAAAAGCACGTTCGGACATGCGCAAATGCGGGGGGGGGGGGGGCCCTCCGTGCCCGCCCCAAACCAACGATAGACCACCTCACCTGAAACATTCGTTTGGGCTCATTGCTCGGACTCTTGCAGCCAATCCTTGCTCCATCCGGCATGAGGCCTAGTACCTTCCCGTGTAACATGGAAGGCAAGTAACCCGTTGACCGCTACTAACGAAATTCGGGATGTCTATATGGGTCTGTCTCACGATTACCCCCAAAATGCTTGGTTCTTTTTGTTTCTCTTTCGAGCCAGCCAAAAGGAGGTCACCCCCAGAAACAAGACCCACATGGCCAACTTCAGAATTACACGCCAATGACAAACAGCTCCACTAGACTGGCTTGGTACACAAATCTCCCCTCCTTTTTTCTTGGCATCAGTTTTTTCGGAAAGAGTTTGTCCGTATCCCATGAAACCTTGCGGTCTCTCGCGACCCTTCTCGCTCACGAGAACGGCGAGAAGGCGCCTGAAGGGGACCTTGATGCGCTCGAAGGCGCGAAGAAGCTGCCGGAACAAGGGCGGCAGCTCCTCTCATGGCCGATGGCAGTGGCCGGCTTTCTGACCCAGCGACTTCTTCCACGGGTTCAACGCTTCAAAGTGTTGCTTTGGGTCTAAGCCACCCCACCACTCAAGAGAGATAACTACAAAATGTTTGACAGTTGAAGGTTTGCTTCTGAGCAAGCGAGATTTGGACAAGGTACAGGGACCTCGGGACCCCAACCAAAACGGAGGGTCTCTTCTCTCCCAAAACGGCGGGGTCACAAGGCAAACCCGCTTCCCATCAGGCCATGAGGTGGATGTCTTGTGGGAGCTGTGGAAGGCTTTTGTGTGAGACCGACAGCAATAACGCTGCGAAAGAACCTTGTTCATTCATGGCGGGTATGATTAAACACGGCCCGCGAAACTCTAGCATGTCATCGTCACTTTTCAGTGGCGTGCAAGACCTGAGTGGAGGCGAGAGGGTTGAGACCGCTGAGCCGAAAATGCTGGAACAAAGAGCTTGAGGCTTTGAGCCTCTGCTCAATCCTGAAACATGAGCTCTACACTGCTTCAAACACCAATAAAAGCCAGGCCCAACTGCCATGCCTCCTAACTTTGTTCGCAACAAGCAACTTCAGCTGGGCCTTCCCTTTAAACACAAGAAGCTGCCTCTCCGTGATTCAATCACACAATCGATGCAGAGACAATTCCAACGCCGGGGAGGCCCGCGTCAGGACAGTATTTGCATACGCTGCTGCTGGCGCCTTATCCAAGATTTGACTGCGGAAGACTTCGGAGGACTGCGCAAGATTGCCGGGAGGCACGGTCTGGAACGGCTGTGGGAAGGATTGCAAAAAGGTTTCGGAGACAAGGACTCCGGGAAAGCTGCAGAAAGATCGCTCTCTGGGGAAGGCTCAGACAGCCTGGAAGAGTGCAGGATGACTTGGAAACCGGGAAGTCAGCTGTCAAACTGCTGGCAGACAGTAATTACACAAATGCAAACGATGTTCAGCAGCTCGACATAAATTTGGGCACCACTTGACAGTCAACCCCAACTCGCCCCACAGCGTACGCTAAAGACCTACAGGGCGAGTGCGACCTTTTGGGCTCATTCATGTTGTGAAAACCTCGTTTCGGTGGCTCCAAAACTTGCAGACTAGGGGAGTGCAAGGCCGGGTGCCGATGAGGAAAAGGCCGGGAGAACAAGCCCAACACCTAGCGCGTTGGGGTTTGCCTTCCTCCCATCCGGGTGCGATTTCGAAGTGCCCACCCAAAGCTCACAGTGTCACAGCACTCCGGTCCTCGGGGAAAGCCGAGATGAGGCTCAGGAAGCTGCCTGGCCTAGGGTTCTGTGCCTCCTGAAGGATGGACATGGGGTGTCTAAACACACAGCCCGCCCCCGATCCCCCAAAAAATAGAAGAGCAAGTTGGTTTCCCTTTGAGGTCCAACCATAATGGTTGGTGTTTCCGAAATTGATTTAAGAAGCTCCAAGTTCTTTCTCGAGGTGTTGAATCCGAAGGTGCCGTCTTTCCAGGTTCAATCCGCATAGAACTTCTACAGAATGACCCTTCCCCTTATGGGTCAACAAACATCGCCCCCAAAGAACCAATAGGGCTGCCCAGAATGCTATCATCTAAGCGCTGCTTTCAAGCATTGCATTTTTTGGCCCAACCCTACCCCTGGCAACACAAAATCCACCCACTCCGAACTAGGACGTTGAATATCCCTGCTCAAATCACCTGAAAGATCTGCAAAGGAAGCTAAAGGCGCCGGAGCACTGCGAGCCACAGCTGGGGCCCAAGCGGCTCAGCATGCAACGCGTCTCCTGACTTGCAGCGCACGTTGATACCTGGTGTTTTTGTTGCCCAAAAAGACGTGTTACAAGCGTTGGGCTCTCCTGCGGTGAATCCTTTTGCACCCACGCGGATGTGTCTTTCGTTGAGGGTACTCCTAAACATATTGCTTTCATGCGCAAGCAAAAGGGAAACCACCAGCTCGGGGGGGTCCATATCCCAAGCGAGGGGAGGTCCTAACTCGCAAAAGGAGACACACCCGTGTATGGCGGTGTCTGGTTTCCTTAGACATGCAAAATGGGGGAGACCCAAAAGGAACCCAAAAGTTCCCCTTGCTTTTTCTTGTTTGGAGACCCAACAGTCCATTGTTCGATTCCCCCAAGGTAGACTTAATCCCGGAGGGACAACCTTGGATATCTGCATCTACGGGGTAATCAAACAACCGGAGCCCTCACAAAAGTGGGCCGGCTTTCAGTGTAACCCCCAGAAAGAAATGATTTTACCGGGACGCCAAAAGGAGCCTGGGCGCAAAGGCCCAGGGATCGATCGATCGATCGATCGATCGATCCGCTTCCTGGGCGATGAAAGCCCGCCGCGGCGCGGAAGCCCGGGGCCTCCATGGGAGCCTGTACGACTGGCCCCACATTGGAGCACGGCCATGGCAAACGATGGCCAAACCATGGGAAAACGACGGGAAAACGATGGGAAAGCCAGGGGAGCGGGGGGGGGGGGGCAATGGGGAAAAGAATGGGAAATCAATGGAACATGTGTGAAAGCATGAGAAAACAACCGCAGGATGCTCCACAGGCCCATGAATTTGACCTCCCACATGTCAAGGCCAACAGTCCAGTCTGAAAGCGTTGATCGCCGCGAAGCGTTCACACTTCATGCAACCTTGGTTGTTAGACCTACCAAGAAGGCAACCAGCTGTCATCAAGAAGCAGAGAACCAGCAAAAGGCAACCAACAACCAAAAAAACAAAGAAGACCACCGACTCAACAAACGCCCTGACTCAAAGAAAGATCGGCCTCGAGGCTCTGGTAGGCGCTCAGCACCTCTTTGGCTGGCCAACCAAATGCCTCGTACTCCGAAATGGATCCCCGCCTCGGTCGAAGAACGCAGGCCAACACACAAGATTTGGGGGGGGTTGGGGGGGGAACTTGCCAGAATTGCCCGAGTTGTCTCCAATGTGGCTTTTGGACATTTGGTGAGTGGGTGACTGCATGCCATGCCCGCAACAACTGGTGTGGTTTGTCTCCCCCTGGGCCCTGCACGTGTAGATCATGGAGTTCACGCTGGCAGTCCCACCAACGCCTCTTCCCGTGGCATACTTCCACGTCCTGCGATTTGAACATGGCCAATGGGTCCGCAAGGATCTTGACATGGGCGGCATACGAAAAGCCTAAAAAACCAAATCCACACTAGGCAATCTGAGATACAACTTCCAAACCTTCGCGGCAAGCTTTCTTTCTCTCCCGGTCCTGCCCTCCTTTCCATGTTGCCAATTCAGCTCCACCGCCGGCCACCAGGCCTCCTCCCTCTGCGGCGCTTTGTCCGGATGGGCGGCCTCTGGCGCCTTCGTCTGACCGGCCCCCGCCTGGAGAATGCGACGGGCGAAATGGCTTCGCAAACTTCGATTCAAGCCCTTCATGTGATTGAGCCTTCTATAATATATATATATATATATATATATTCTCTGGATCTCCAAAAAAATCGCCCTAGGATTGATTTGGGGGAGGACTTGTCCATCCTTTATAGATGCGTGGAGGGAGAGTCTGTGCACCCCGTTCTCCTCCATGCTCCATGTGTGAGAAACCTTGGGGGTCCTCGCCTGAAGCGGACATTGGGAACTGCTCTTCTAAAAGTAAAGAAACAAAAACCTCCAAGACTGGGCACTTCAAAACTGACCACGTACGCTATGTCTGCAACTTCGGGGACCCAAATGGCTGGCTTTCACCTGGTGTCCCTGTAAAAGCAACCAGCCCCCCACCCCCCCCAAAAAAAAAACAAGAGAAAAAAAAGAAGAAACAAAAGACACCCCTGTAGTTGGCGGGCCTTTTCGGGGCCAAGGGGCCGCTGAGGGGGTGCTTTGGTTTCTCGCCTCGAGGATCAACACCCGCCAGGGCCGGCCATCCGAAGTGGCCGCATCGGCCAGGCGAGAGGCCACCACACCTCGCTGGGGCATCGCCGTCTGGGTTTTGGGCTTCCGTTTCTTTGGATCCTACAGGAAACCCAGCCATCATTTCCACCTTCGGAGCAAGCAAGTTTTGAGGAACACATGGGTGTGTTACCTTGGCTTTTTACGGCGCCCGCAAGGGAAACCAGAAGGACGTCACGAATTTGTGGCCCCAGCGGTCCCATGTTCCGCGTCAACTCTGGGCCTCAGAACCTGACTCCCGGCAGATCCGGCGCCCACTACGATGAAGTCGTACTCTCCGCCGTCCTGACATTGGCGAAACCCCCCAAAAAAGAGGCCACGACACACACACACACACACATACGCACGCACGCACGCACGCACGCACGCACGCATGCACGCACCCACCCACCCACCCACACAACACACAAAAACACAAACACACACAGACACAGACACAGACACAGACACAGACACAAACACAGACGCACACACAGACACAGACACAGACACAAACACAGACACAGACACACAGACACACAGACACACAAACACACAGACACACAGACACACACACACACACAGACACACAGACACACAGACACACAGACACACAGACACACAGACACACAAACACAGACACACACAGACACACACACAGACACACACACAGACACACACAGACACACACACAGACACACACACAGACACACACACAGACACACACACAGACACACACACAGACACACACACAGACACTCACACAGACACACACACAGACACACACACAGACACACACACAGACACACACACAGACACACACACACACACGACACACACACAATCACCACACACACACACACACACACACAACACACACACACACACACACACCACGCACCACACCCACACACACACACGCACGCAAAACGCAACGCACGACGCACGCACGCACGCACGCACGCACGCACGCACGCACGCACGCACGCACGCACGCACGCACCGCGCACGCACCGCACGCCACCAGCACGCACGGCCGCCAACGCACCGCACGCAACACGCACGCACGCACGACGCACGCACGCACGCACGCACGCACGCACGCACGCACGCACGCACGCACGCGCGCGCGCGCACGCGCACGCGCACGCACACGCACACGCACACGCACACGCACACGCACACGCACGCGCACGCGCACGCGCACGCGCACGCACCCACACACACACACTTATCTCGAGAGGCTTCACTCTAGCCGAGATGAAACACGCAGTCAGTAAGAATGCTTGAATGCGAATGCAAATCAACAGGTCACAACATCGACACCGAACAGGAAGCAACAGCAACGAACAGAAATCGCAAAAGGAATCAGGAAAGAGGGTCAAAAAGGGCCAAAAGGACTTTCAGAATCACTCAAAAGGTGCAGGTACACAAGGCTGATCAGGCCTTGCTTCCCACTCTCACCCACAGCTTCATTGCGTGTGGTAGGATGAGAGCGCCACACGCCCCTGGCGCTTAAAGTGTTGCGCCCGTGCTCCAGGACGGTTCACACACACAAGGCCCCGAGCGGGGCGAACTCACTTATGCAAGGCCCATTGAGTCTTGCAATCTTCGACTGTGCGGGAAAGTCTCGTGGCGATGACAGACCATGCATGCTTGGCCTTGGTATTGATCTTAAGCGAGCGGAGGAGATCAATCTCCTCCTCAGTCCAAGGTTGCGGGGCTTCGGGATCAGCCTCAGTAGCGGCATCAGTCCTGGTCGATGGGGTAGCTTCGCGTTGTCCACGGGTAGGTTTGGATGCCATAGAGCGTGAGGAGGTCTTGTCATGTGTGCGACGAGCTCGTTTTTTGTCAGGGGGAGACGGTGGAGTGGGTGGAGCCCAATGATCAGGAAATTGTTCATCATGATCTGCGAGAAGTTGTTCGCCAGGATCTTCAGGAAGTTGTTCATTGAGATCATCGGGGGGGGCCAGGAGAGGTGTTGGTGGTGAATTGGTCAGGTCCTCTACGGTGAGATTGTGTGGAGCTTCCGGTGCGAAATCCGGGCCCTCAGTGAACTCGCGAATGGTGGCAATGCCTTGCTGGGCAATGCCGAGGATGAGTTCAAAGTCTTGAAGCAGCTGGCGTGCTGTGTCAAGATCCATAATCGCAAAAGGTTTTATGTCAAATAGCTGCGGTGTGAAAACAGGTCATGTGGGGATCTGCCGGTGGGCAAAGAGTGAAAAAGTGGGTGCAATCTCAAAAAGTGGCAAAGGAAGGCCGGTGCGTTTTTCTTCTTTCTGCAAGGTGAAACCGTGTTGGTGGTACAACTTCTTCAACAATGTGAGATCGTGATCTCGCTGAAACTCAGGAAAGGAAACCCGGCTGATCAGCGTGCGTCTGAAGTAATATCCAGATTCCTTGTGCATCATTGGTGCGGCCGACTTGATGGAGAGCACGTTGTGCTTCTCATACGAGGGGATGAAGGAGATGGTGCCGCACTCAAGGTCCAGTCGAAAACCCAAGAAATCCAGGGCGGCTTCTGTCTCCAAAATGATGTCTCCTCCGTAGAAGTGTTCGTCACACAAGATGTGGGCTGCCGGAGTCGAAAACCATCTAGGAGTTGCGACCACGAGCCTGTTGTCCACATAGCGGAGCAGGAGGGTGTCCTCAAAGGAGCGAGGTCCCGAAGTAGGATGGGTGTTGGCCCAAATTTGCTCGGCGACCGCAATTACCATCAGGCATAAAGCAGGAGATGCGGGGGATCCCATCGGGGCCCCGCGTGTTTGCCTGAAGGAACGGAAGCCGACAGAAAAGATCTGCATGTCAAGGGTAGCTTGGATGCTTTCGGGGATGTCGTCAAGCCACAGAGTGCGTTGTGCTGGCTTGTGTCGGCGACGGCGTCCGTTGTAGACGCGTGTGGTGGAAGAGGTGTCAAGTGTGTCCACAGTGAGGTGTGTGGTGGTGGAATGTGGTTGCCGCTGTCGGTACCAAGTCAAAAGTAGACGCTTCTTAGCGTCTTTGTCAATGGAAGTGAAGAAACCGGCAAGGTCCTGGTTTCGACAGTCCAGAGGGACGTGGCCGAGGCGGAGAAACTCATGCAAAGACCGCGTGAGATCGAAGAGGTCGCCACCCGAAAATGCGTCTGGGCAGGCCGTGGCAACCATGCTGTGGAGCAGTTTGGCGAGAGCGTCAAGCATGGGTCGGAAGAAGGCGCCAACGAAGCCGACGATGGGTCGAGCAGTGGTCCAGTTCTTCTTCCTCTTGGGGAGGATGTAGGCAGTCGCTGGCCGTCCGAAGCCGGTCACGGCCCATGGACAGCGACCGCGGAATCTGCTGACGATGCTTTCTCGTTGCCGTTGATGGACCTCAATGGAGGGGACTCGCAAGGGAGCAAAGATGGCAGGATCCGTGAATGTGGCGTCCAGCATCTTGCCGTACACAGCGGGGCAATAGAGCATGAGTCGGGAGTCCGCATGATCTTCGCAATGGCGGACAAGGGGCTCCAGGGTTGTTAGAGCCTGTTGAACATGAGCGTGTAGAAAGTACTGTGGTGTGTGAGGAAGGTGGAGGCTGAGGAAGGTGGAGGTCGAAATGGAAATCGACAAGACTGGAAAGGGTTGATGGATCGAGCGAGGGCAGGTTGTTGGTCCTGGCCCAGTGGTGAAACGCCTGAGTCAGACGATTCATCAAGACCCCGCGTGGAGGAAAGAAGGAGTTTCGCATCGAACCAGAAAGCATGCTGACTATGTCGGGGTCGAACAACTCATGAGTGTCAGGGCCAGAAAAAAGAAGGTGTCCCTCATGCTTCGGGAGGGATGGGTGTCGCTTGGCGAGGTCGGTACATGTGCAGGACAGCTCGCCGAGACTCCAGGTTTGAGCTGCCTGGAGGTGTGAGAACAAGGCACTGGATAGTTTCCGGTGTGCCTTGAAAACGATGCGTGGTTGCGCCACTGGAATTAGGCCCCGGAAGCGCAGGCCAGATCGAATGGCAGAGATGCATGCCTGGTGGTGTGGTTCAGGTAAGTGTGTAGCGATGCGATGAAGGATGTATAGGGCAGCGTGTGGGAAGTCTCTGCTCCGTATGTAACGGATGGCATCGAATCGTCGCAGGGTGTTGCTGCCAAGATCGCCCAAAAGGCGCCACAAGTCCAGGCGGTTGCTCATGCGCTTGGGGCTTGTACTGTGGCTCTGCGGTTGGTGTCCCCACGATTGGTAACCAGCGTGGAGAGGACCTTTGAGACTTGTCGGTGTCCCATCCGGAAGTGCGCCAGGAAGTGGAACCTTGGGAGGTGTGGGTTTGCGAGGCTCGATGTGGAGCCGTGGTCTTGGGTGCGGGGGAGTGTCGTGGGGAGGACCTGCGTCGGGGGGAGCGTGAGCGGAGGGAGATGGGGTTGCGGTGCGATCGCCTGGAGCGGTGGTGGGGCCGTGAGGGGGAATGTGACCGGCTGGAGCTGCGTGCTCGCCGGGTGGTGTGTCGCCGTGGCGCCTGGCCGTGTCCCCGGTGATGGCTAGTGTGGGAGTGTGAGTGGCGGTGTCGTCATTGACGGGAACGGGATCTGCGGGAGTGGGACTGGGGACGAGTGCCCGTGGGATGTGGGTTGGTCGAGGGAGTAGCAGCTGCATCGGCTGCGCGTGCCGGCTGGGGCTCGGGCAATGAAGATGGCATGCTGTTCTGAGCCATGAAGGGCATCAGGGCGCCGGATGTCGCGTTGCCAAAGATAGGAAGGCCACCATAGGGCATCAAGGACATCGGGTTGCCAAAGTTCGGGAGGCCACCATAGGGCATCATGGAAAACGGTGCAAAGGGCGTGGTTGGGTGAAGGTACGAGGTTCATGGGCTGCATCATCTGGGGTGACAACTGCAGGTTCGGTCCACCGCTGCCTGGTGAGCCGGACAGGAGCGAATGCATCATGTCATAGAGCTCGCAAGGGAGAGAGAGGGTTGGAAAGAGAGGGGTGGAAACAATAAAAGACAACTGCGGCATGGGCAGGCACAATGTAGCAACTGATTCACACATGACCTGAGTCAGCGCAGAGCGTGAATCAATGAACGGCAAAGTCGGTGTCTGACCGGCTTGTCACTCGCGCATGAAGCTGCCGGATCCTGATACCTCATGAGAGCTGTTCAAAACGCAGGCAGTGCAATGCGAATGAAGCTGTCGGAGCCTGATACCTCATGAGAGCTGCCTTGTTCAAAAGGCAGGCAGTGCAATGCGAAGGTGAACTGAACTTGAACTTTTGAACGTCATCCCCTTGCAGGGGGCTCCCGCAAATGGCGAGTCCAGCCCACAGCGCCATGTCGGACAGGCCGTGGGTAAACACACTTATCTCGAGAGGCTTCACTAGCCGAGATGAAAAAACGCAGTCAGTAAAAATGCTTGAATGCGAATGCAAATCAACAGGTCACAACATCGACGCCGAACAGGAAGCAACAGCAACGAACAGAAATCGCAAAAGGAATCAGGAAAGAGGGTCAAAAAGGGCCAAAAGGACTTTCAGAATCACTCAAAAGGTGCAGGTACACAAGGCTGATCAGGCCTTGCTTCCCACTCTCACCCACAGCTTCATTGCGTGTGGTAGGATGAGAGTGCCACACGCCCCTGCTGCTTAAAGTTTTGCGCCCGTGCTCCAGGACGGTTCACACACACACACACACTTCAACTCCCAAGGGCGGATGCTAATCTTTCTGATGAGTCTCGAGTACAACTGATGAGTCTCGAGTGGGTATAGGTTCGGCTCACAGTCACTTGGCTTCCGTCTAGCAGCGAAAACGTTACCCGAAAGAACAAGAAGCACAAACAGCGCCGCAACCAAGGGGGCCAAAAAGACATTCAGAATCACGGAAAGCAGGTACGCCGGATTGATGAGATCCGGTATCCCATGACTGAGGTAGCTTCGTTGAGTGCGGTCCCTCAGTCATGCCGCACTCCCCTGCGACAAACATGATCTCGTCGAGAAAGGTGGCGCCAGGGTAAATCTGACACTCCGCACACACACGCCCCTCGAAGAGGGGCGAGTACCACTTTTTCGGGGGGGAAAACACGCGCCCCAAAACCGGGCGAAGACCCCAACAGAAAACAAACAGAGCAGGAAAACAAAAGAAACAGAAAGGCCCCACGTTGGGTCCCCGCGGGCAAAACCCAACCAAGAAACACAAAAAACCGGAAAACCCGAGTTTAGGGTCACCGCCGAGGGCAAAGAACCCCAAACAGCCCAGAAACCCTCCTAAACCTGGTAGAAGAAGAGCACCGCGAAGTTGAAGAACGACACCACGAACACGCCATCCCGAAACGGGCGAAGAGGAGCAACAGGAAGTAGTAGGAAAAGAGGGAGGAGAAAAAGAAGGAAGGAAAGAAAGAAAGAAAGAAAGAAAGAAAGAAAGAAAGAAAGAAAGAAAGAGAGAGCGAGAAAGAGAGAAAAGGGGGGCGAGATGCGTATTTAGGGCGCCGCAGCCCGCCCGGGGAAAGGAGAAAGGACAGAAAGGGAAAGAGAAGAAGAAAGAGAGAAAAGATAACAAAGGGAGCGAGATGCGTATTTAGGGCGCTGCAGCCCGGGGGAGGAGAAAAGAGAAAAAAGAAAAGAAAAGAAAAGAAAGAAAAGAAAAGAAGCAGAAGACAAGGAGACAAAAGGAGAAAAGAAGGAAGAAGGAGGAAGGAAGAGGAAGAGGGATGTGGTATGCGTTTTTAGGGCGACGCATCCCGCCCAGACAGGCAAAGAGGATGAAGACCAAGGCTCGAGGAGGAAGACGTCGAATCCCACACGGGGGCCAAACTACGTGAGGAGGACGAGGAGTAGGAACAGGTAGACGGACAGGAAGATGAAGACGAGGAGAAAGGTGAACAACGCGAGGACAACCAGGCCATCCCTAAGCGGGCGAAGAGGAGGAGGACAAACGCGCGGGTCACGAAAGGCAGCAAGAAGAGAACGGGAGGAAGGAGAAGCCATCCCTAGACGGGCGAAGAGCCAGAAGACGGACACGCGGAAGACGAAGGCGAGAAAAGGTGAGACGTAGCTATGAACTGGCGGCTGTCTTCCCTTTAGTGAAACCTCGTTCCTGCTTAAACGTGAAGTTCCGCTGGGCTATGAAAAGAACGTTGAGGTCAAATTTTCCGGCGAACCGGCCCGGGGTCACACGATGGGTACACCCGAGGTTCCCCCAAGATGGGGTGATCACACTTCAACTCCCAAGGGAGGATGCTAATCGTTCGAGTACAACGAGTACAACTGATGAGTCTCGAGTGGGTATAGGTTCGGCTCACAGTCACTTGGCTTCCGTCTAGCAGCGAAAACGTTACCGAAAGAACAAGAAGCACAAACAGCGCCGCAACCAAGGGGGCCCAAAAGACATTCAGAATCACGGAAAGCAGGTACGCCGGATTGATCAGATCCGGTATCCCATGACTGAGGTAGCTTCGTTGAGTGCGGTCCCTCAGTCATGCCGCACTCCCCTGCGACAAACATGATCTCGTCGAGAAAGGTGGTGTCAGGGTAAATCTGACACTCCGCACACACACAAACACACACAAACACACACAAACACACACACACACACACACACACACACACACACACACACACACACACACACACACACACACACACACACACACACACACACACACACACACACACACACACACACACACACACACACACACACACACACACACACACACACACACACACACACACACAACACACACACACACACACACACACACACACACACACACACACACACACACACACACACACACACACACACAGACACACACACACACACACACACACACACACACACACACACACACACACACACACACACACACACAGAAACACACACAAACACACACACAAACACACACAACACACACAAACACACAAACACACACACACACACAAACACACAAACACACAAACACACAAACACACAAACACACAAACACACAAACACACAAACACACAAACACACAAACACACAAACACACAAACACACAAACACACAAACACACAAACACACAAACACACAAACACACAAACACACAAACACACAAACACACAAACACACAAACACACACACACACACTAAAATCAACCATTTGGCTTGGGTGTGTTGGAGGGTCACGGCTTTAGGTGGGTTCCGGCATGCACACATAGTAGCACACATCCTCGTTGTGTGATGCAAGCTGGAGCCAGCCTAGTAGAATCCATTCCCAAACTCACGCAAAGTGCTTGAGCAACGCTCCTCCAAAGGCGTGCTGCCTGCGATCCTCTCCCAGCGCTCATCCTCATCTGGCCTTCCCGCCGTGAAACGCGTCGGTGTGACATAAAATCGAGGACCCCGCCAAATGCAGGAGGATTGCATGTGGTGCCCCTCAAAACCCAGCCACAACGGGGTGGCTACTGTTGGGATGCTACTAACTGGAACTACAACAAGTGGCTGTGGCTCAAGAATCGGACGCGAACCCCAAACCTAGATTCTGAAAAAGGCGAAGGGGCCCAGAATCTGTTGTCACGAAAAACAATATCGGATATTGGTAAGGATGCGCTTTGCAAAATGTGCCCTTTTTTCTGATAACCTCTTATTGGACCATGCTTGCAAGGCACCTTAGGTCTACTTGGCACTGTGACCAACCGACAGCACAACATCATTTTTTGGGCAGGTTGCGTGCCCAACCAACTTTGCCACGTGATTTCTTTACCTAAGGCAACTAAGTGCGGCTCCTTCAAAGCCCAAAAGGAAAACGACTTACCTACCAAAGGGGTGGTAGCTGCAACTGCATACTGCAACCTACTAAATGGCATCCTGAAAAATCGTTGATCCCATGATGGGTGGCCAGCTTTCGGAACCCCACTAGGCTTCGCTCGGTGGCCTGCGGGGAAAGCTGTCGAGGCCACAGCACCGCAGGAAGGTGAACTCCTGGAGGACCCAAAGCCCCGAGCTTGGCTTTCGATTTCCTTTGAGATGTCGGGATCCAAGCCATTTTGCAAACCTCTATCGCCCTCAGTCTGAATGGAACTTTCGCATGGGAGTCTGGATCTATCTCACCAGTCGGTGAACGCTGAAGTGCTTGCACCCGTCCTCATTCCAGCAAGCTGGGTTTCCAGTGAGGCCCCACTGCTCGCCGCAGCAAAACTCCTCGTTGAATTCCTCGGCCGAACGGGCGGCGCTCAAATGTCAACAAGTTCTACCCGGATGGGTGTCATATGCAGACCATCGTCTGGAGAACTGAAACCAAGGGTAGATCTCCTAATCTGTTGGGCACGGTACTACCGGAAAATTGACATGGGTGCGATGTTTAATTGCGGACCGTTTGGTGGACATCATTTAGGGATTCATGTCCACCAGCCACTCTTGAGGAGCTTCCCTGTTAAAGTTCATGAATCCGGCCATTTGGGCAACAGTTGACACATGCCCGCCAGCCAGGGTGTTGGAGTCGAATCGGCGCCCGATTCTACTCTGCCGAGCTGCTCCCGACCAGCACTCGGCCGACCTGCCAAAGAAAAGCACCCAAACCCGGCTGAACTTTGAGACCCCACTTGCTTTTCAACATTTTGGCGAGAGCTCCACTTTGGGCTGTGTCATACTGAAACCCAGTGCCTCCAAAAAATACATCAATCCTAGAGGTGTATAGGTACTTGTCCTGGGGGGTTCAAAAGTGGAACCTTGGAAGCCCGCCTTTCCGTCGGGCTGCCCCACATAAGTTTGTCTTTTCAAGTGAGATACCATGGACTGGTACCATGGACCAGTCCATCTGATTCGGTTGGCGTGGAGCTCTTTTTGGGAAGCACCAAACGGGGTGCACGACACTCCTCCATGCAAGGTGCTCTGGTCTAAGCGCGTGGCACGCTCGCTGCACTTGCCTCAGAGCCACTGCCACGAGGTGTATGTTTGGCCCTGGATTCGACCCCCCTGGTTGACTTTGATTTGGAGTGTGTCTCCTCCGAGAGGAAATCATGTCCTGTTGGGGGGGGGGGACTCCCCTCAAAACATCTGCCGCGCTGATTAATCCGGGTCTTTGGAGGCAAGAGACAGTGTCCAACCATGTTTTGCCATAATCACATGGAGTCCCTGCCCAGAAGAGTCCACCCCAGAGATACAGCGTTAAACACGCAGCTAAGCGCGCCACAGTGCATCCTGCAAAGGCTGCCAACAGCGCAGACCGCATTCTATGCGGATTCCCATCCCGAAGATTGCGCTTCCTTGGGCTGCAGTCTGCTATGTGTTTTTTTCAAGCTGCCACCCTGAGCTTTTCTTGAGACATCGAAAAGAACGCCTGTGACTTACCTGTGTCCCTACGAAGATGCTGGCGTCGAGTGCGGTGTCTTTGCGTATCTCAGCTTTAGGAGCTGGCTCCTCGCGCGTATATTGCAGTCAACATAGTCGTGCGCTTGCGGGCCAAGATCGATTTCGAGCCAGCGACAACTGAGCATTCCCTATAGGCAAAAACATGCAAGCAAAGGTATTTGAATATGGTCCAAAAAGTGGTCCAAAGTGGCCCAAAAGCAAAAGTGGTCCTAGGCAAAGGGTCGCTATTCGACGAGATATTGGATCAACATAGCTTAACCCTGCCCTGCTAACCCAACCTTGCTTCAACTAGAACGGAAGTTGAAGAAACGCAAGACTGGAAATTGGAGGGTGCTGACACAATGATTTACTAAAGTCTCCCCGACCCCATAGGTTCAAGAAAAATGATGCCGGCTCATCGTTGATACCAAAAAGAGACACAAGCGTGGGCCTAGAGAGCACGCAGCGCAGAGCCCTTGATGGGTTTTAGCGAGATGTTCAAGAACCAGCACCAGCCTACCCGCCTCCAGAAATCCGGAACCATAGCAAATGAATCAGGTTCTGCACTCCTATCTGTCGGCGCTCATTTTCTTCCTGGTAGCTGCGCGGCGCTCTTGGCCGCGAACGGTGCCCGGTGGGCTCTCTCAGCACTGCTTCACCTCCGGTGCTGGCACGCCCACGCACTGGTCCACCGTGGCCTTGTTCCCGTTGGAGCAGCTCAGGCACCTCGACACAGGCGCCAACGGGGGCAACCAAAAACCTGGCAAAAGGAGCGTCAAAACCACGGGTGCTTCGATCCCACAAAAATGGCTGGCTAATTAAACCCTGCCTCTTTCGTGAAATGGAGGTGACCCTTCAAGACCATTCCAAACCATCGCCAAAAGCCTCCCCTTACGAGACACTTTCTAAAGGACCCTCAGAGTGCTTCATTCTGGTTTGGCAACTGCCGGAAAAGCATCCCACATGATACAAGCATCCAGAAACAACAGCTTCAGAGATTGCTTCCTCAAACCTTTTGGAGGGCGCGTCTTTTTTTGCGGCCTGGTAGCGGCAAACCCCCACCCCATTTTGCGGCTTCCCCTTCGAGACCAACCCCGCGAAGCCATCCAAACACCATCCGAGGCCTGTTGGAGCACCAGGACCCGAAGAGGCAGGCCATCTTGCCTTCGACGCGAAGCGACCAAGCGAAATCTTCTTGTTTGTTGTTTCGTGATTTTCTCTTTTCTTTTTTTGAAAGAGTTGGTAAGGGAATGGTCATTCAGTGATGGTCTAAAGAAGAAAAAGTCATTTGTTGTTGATAGTTGGTAAGGTAACAGTCATTTTGCAGCCCTTTCCCCAAAAATATGGTTGAGGGTTGGTGCGGAAACAGTCATGCTCGTCAACGGCTAAAAGGACCATGTCGCTTCAAAAAGTAAGCTCAGGTAATATCCCCAACAGCATGCCGCGCTCGCCCTCGCAAACACCTCGTGGAACCCTGGTGGAACCTTACCTCAGGGCTGCCCCGGACCACCCCGGAGCCTGTCTGGGCTGAGACCCCAAAGCTTTCAGCTGTGGGGGAAAAAAAGCCGAGCCGCAGTTGTCGTAGCCGTACTGCCCGGACATCCCGAAGCAAGAGGCGCAGGACTCGGAGAGCTTCGTCTGGCTCACGATGCAGGAGGCCATCTTGTTCTTGTTGAAGCCGCTCCAGAAGCTGTACGCTCCCTTCCCGCAGTTCGCCACGATCCTGGGCGGGGGCGGGGGCTTTGGAAAGGCGCGAAACTGGGGGTGGGATAAACTGGGGGGATAAAAAGGATGGACCTGGGCGAAAAGGGATCAAACGGATGGACCAATGCCTATCAGGGGGTGGGGGGAATAGAATGGATGGCTGGAATGGATGGAAACAAGGTTGGAAAAGCCTTTCATTGAAGGCGGAAACTCATCAACTCTGACTGACCTATGGGCATGATGGACCCCGAAACACACCGAAGTGCGACATCTTAGCTCACGGAGGGAAAAGGATAAACTACATGTCCAAATGGCCAAATGGGAAAGGTTGAAAAGGATAGAAATGGGTTCGTTTTTTACTACTGGCTATAGGACCTTTATCATGGGCTCAATCGCTCGCTTTACCCCTGGATCGGTGAGCTCGCTATAATCTGGCTGTGAGTTTCAATAGTGAACCTCATCAAAAGTGATTGTGGTCACCACGGAGTCCCCGATCGAAAACAATCATACCGATACCCATTTGCACGGGCCACAAAAAAACGGTGGTGCGCTTTTGACTTTAGACCGTCCAGGGCGCTTGGGGAAGGTCCCGTCCGCGTTGCCGCTCCCGTACTTCGCCATGATCTGCCCGTCGGCCGAGCTGCACTGCGCCGAGAAGTTGCTCTTCAACTGCGCCTGGGCCTCCTGCAGGCTTTTGGATCGGAGAAAATGGAGGGAAACCAAGGGGAAACCAACCATGTTGGGGAACCCGTGTGGCTTAGGCTCGGTACACTTCTGAAGGTCGGATTGAAAGGGAAACCAAGTTCAGAGGCAATGCTAGTCTTGAATTGTACTGCTGGTTGCTGTGGGTGTTCATCCTGAAGCTAACTTGATACTGTCTCGTGTCTGATTCGTCCCTAAGCAAGGGTCGAGTTGGGCTATGGGTGTGTAAAATCTGGACGTATTCGTACAAGGGCTTCCTCCCTAGGAATCCTATTCATCCCCTTCAACCACAAATGGGAGGGTGCTCTCGCAAAAGCACATACCATGGGAACGCGTGACTTCCCTCCGCTGGATCAATTCCCACGGGGTTTAGCCAGAGCCTCCCCGCCTGCACAAAGTTGAAAGCTGTTTTTTGCTTTTAAGATGTCCATTTAAGCGCGCGTTCCATGGGGAAACTTGGATGTGTCTCCACATGACCCAAAGCAGTAGCGATGTCCCTTGAGCTTCCTTTTGAGGCAACCCCACCCCAAGCGCAACAACATCCATAGGGCTCAGAATGAAAGAGTCGCAATCTGTCCGCCGCGGAGTAGTCAACCTGGTGGATTTTACAGGGTGTTTCCCAAACGAAGCTTGATGACCTGCCCCTATCCATCAACTGGGGCTCTTGATCCTGGGCAAGAACTCTTGATGCTGGGCAAGAATAGGAGCGCAAGTGTTGAGGAAAACCAGGTGGTGTGCGCTTGCCCTTCTTTGATGCTTGGGATGATGAGAATTCGGGGTGCATGTACTATTGGCATTGTTTTGGTGTAAGGGCCTAAAACCCAGCCCAACCAGCAACCCACCCAAGCAAGCCCAGCCCGCCCAGCCCGCCACACAGCCCAGCCCAACCCAAGCAAAAAAACTGTCTGAGACTAGACTCACATGTCTGACACTGGCCTCGGGCTCCGCCCAGTGTCTGAGACTTACCTCAGGCTCAGCCCAACCAGCAACCACCCAAGCAAGGCTCAGCCCAGCCCACCCAGCCCAGGCTGCTTGACTCACTCCTGGTCCTGTGCATCGCCTTGCCCTTGCCTCGGGGATTCCTGCGGGCCCATGACATCAATTGGTCCAACGACGCCAGAACCTGTCCATGCCTGAATCGCCACTTGACCAGCTCTGCTGCTTGCAGTCGAACCACAGACGCCGCGCTGCCGAGGCGGGCAACTCGCAGCGTTTACAATTAAAAGGTTATGTTCAAGGGGGCTCCCTTGACTCAGAGAAAGTGACACAACCCCCCAAAAGGAGTACCCCCAACAGAAGATACAACCATTTTAGGGGACCAGGCAACAATTTTAGGGGACACCAAACAAACATCAGCGCGCTCCAAACCAATTAAACTAATTGGTGCGATCAAGGTTTAGTTTGGCCTTACACCACCTATTAAAATGGGAATCGGTTTTGGGCGCTGCTCAAATTGTACATGGGACCGCGGGATCGATCTGTTTTTGTGTTCTTCATTAGGGAGTATGGTTGAAGCCCACCACCCAGAACACTTGTGATTCAAGAACTGGTAAAGCATGGCACAGTCCTTCAAGCGGGATCTTTCTTTCGGTCTATCAGCACCGGAGGGGAGGATGCTCCAGCTTTCATAGCCTGTCTGAATCTCCAGTTTCCCGGCAAAGTCGCCGCCCCAAGTGCGTCAACAATACGGGGGAGTGTGTCAACCTTCGGAGCCCATCTGGCCATGGGTCAAAACCCCGTACCCCCAGTGAACATCCCAATCCCCACTAAAATGGACTAAATGGGTGGTGCACCTACCCCAACATGGTACCATTGGTTTTGACCATCTGTCATACCGGCCGAGTCGGCACCGCGTCCTTGGCACGCAGCTGGTGAAGTTCCAGGCTGCAGGTGCCATCCGCGCACTCGTCGTCGCTCGCCAAATTCGAGACCTCCCCGGACACGGCCAGCACCAGGAGCGCCACACGCAGCAGAGCCTCTGTGATCGAAAAATGACTGGTTGGTTGGTTGGGCGGGTGGGTGGGTGGGTGGTTGGCTGGCTGGCTGGCTGGCTGGCTGGCTGGCTGGCTGGCTGGTTGGTTGGTTGGTTGCTTTGTTGGTTTTCATCTCGCTGCTGTTCTAAGTATTGATTGTTGCTGTTGAGGATATTGTTGCCGCTGTAGTTATGTCGGCTAGTCTTGTTCTTGTTCTTCAGGGTTGCTCCAAAGACCCTGGCGCATAGGCCAGCAAATTTGGCCCCCTGGGAGAGGAAAGAAAAAGGCGCAAATACCCATGTTCTACCTTTCTGCCCGTGTGGTTTGGGGTATCGCAAAGATGTTCCGGAGCGACCCTGCTGTTGTTGGGAATGTGAGGCAGCTACTCCGTACCAAGGACGAGCAAGGATAAGATGAAAGAAAGAAAGAAAGAAAGAAAGAAAGAAAGAAAGAAACGAAGAATGGAAGACGACCCTGGAACACCTTACATTTAGCAGATGGTCTCTGATTGAACCAACACATGACGCAACAAGGTGAATGCGTTTAAGGCTTGTTCAAGAGCTGATGTCACGCACCCCTGAGGGTGTAGCCAATTGTTCACTGGGAATTGTAGTTGTGTATTTCTATATACCAACTATGTATGGCCTTGTTTATTGCATATTATATATATATATATGTGCTTAGGAGGCATGAGCGGCACACCCATACTTCCCAGTTCTTGATTGCCAACTGAGCTCGAAGCCATGGTCACCAAATGCTCAGTAGGCACAGCGCTTGATCGACAGGCAAAATAGCTGCCGCATTGACACATGATTGAAAGTGCAAGCTGTGAGTGTGCACCGGCCGGGGGCCGCAGAAAGCAGCCCCTCCCTTTCTCATTCTCACTTATGTATATATATATATATATAAGTGAAAATATGTGTATACTATGTAGTCGTATGCGTGGTAGGACTCAAGGGGATGTTCTTGCAGAAACAGTCTGTTGTTCCAGGATGGCTTAACTTACAAAGCTGCTTTCCAACCAAGATCTGCAATTCAAGTGAGGGAATCTACCCACATCAAAACTGAAATCATACACTTGATGTCTATGCTACATTGATTGCCTAAAATCCCTAAAGGTCCATGACAATCCCTACCCACACAACTGTGTGTTTCGACCACGACTCAAATGTATCTATACATGTGCATGCCATGGTCTTTGCCCCGTTCCGCCTTTTTCCTCACATTCCGGTTCACATTCCGGTTCAATGCATCGCCCCTGTCTTCGCGCTGGACATGAGCAATCACGGCTCTATGCAAAGAGGTATGCCTCACGGGGCCCAAACCGAGCATCGAAGGCTGCAGCATAGGCTTTCTCCACGTCGCCTGTGGTGAAGTTGAGGCGCTCCAAAACGATCGACTCATCTTGGGCAGCGGTGGTGTTGCCAAACAGGCTGGCGGGATCATCCGTGTTCAGGCCAAACAGCAGGCCCTGCTGATGAAAAGCAGAGATGGACTTCAAAGCCCATGCTCCGTGCAAGCGGGCACTGTTCGGACAAGCTTCAACGTGCACCCTCCTGTCTCGCAACGCCTGCATGAGGCCAGCGTCTTGTGCTGCAGCGTAGCCATGGCCGACTCTGTCAGCGAGCATTTGGAAGACGGCGGTATGCACATCACCGCTCTGCGTCGTATTAAACTCGCCGGAGTGGATGGTGGTGTTCAGCCCGGCGTGCTTCGCATATCTGAAGCACTCCTATGTGGCTTACGGCCCCCGAGAAAGCTCAAGTATTTGCTGGTTATAAGAACACACACACACACACACCCACCCACACACACACACACACATGGCTCACATGTTCTGCAAACAGCTGAAGGGTAAAGATCCAACCCAGCAGCCAAGACTCGATGTACGCCTCGTTGGGGAAATCCGTTTCGTCTCCGGCCAGATCCAAGCCCACCACGCCGCCCATGGCGTGGCTCCGGAGCTGCAAAGCCAAATCGGCTGTCCTGGGGACCACCAATCCGCACCAGACACTGGGCATTGGTGGCTTGTGGACTGGGTTTAAGCCATCCCTGGTGCGGGATGTTGTCCATCCACATCTTGAAACATCCTCTCCGTTTCAAGGGGGCCCATTTCGACTGGCTGTTTCTGAGGCTTCCTTTCCTGATCGAAACATAAAAGAGGGAAACTCACTTCGAACAACCCAAAGAGGGAAATGTAAGGATCCTTGCTTTTCGCGGCCCCGAGCAACGGAGGAGTGTCTAGTGGGCAACTTGGGTGGCCCCCCATGCCCTCTCTTGACGAAGAGTCTACAAATCAAGGACTTCAAAACAACAATCCTTGTACATTAATTACACCCCAAACAAATCGTCTCAGCGCTGAGGTTTTGTTTGGGACTTGCCTCCGGCACCTGGCTGGGCTCTTCCCGCGCATGGCGCACAAGATCTGGTACACCTCCACCTGGTGCCGGCGTGCGCCACTGGCAAGGCCCCGCTGCACGGCCCTGACCACCTCGCACAGCCACATCACATTTCTTTGCCCGGTCTTCTCATCCCCCTGTGCATGATTATGGTATACCATAACTATCAAACTAGAACACATGCGCATATTATAATATATATATATATATATATACACATACAATTCAATGCCATGTGTAATATGACAATTGCTGTATATATATATATATATATATATAAGTCCATCGTGTTCATTCCTTTGAGATCCTCTTTCACCCTGAAACCGGTCGCCTCCTCCTCACTGATGGAGGCATTTGCCAGGCTGCTGCGGCTGAGCCGCACGGGATCGTAGCGCACCTCGGTGTACCGCACCTGCCGCGGGCTTAAAACGCCTTTGGAAGGCACCCTGTTTGGGGGTTTTGAAGAGAATCCAAAGGACGCAAAATTGGGGAGAGGGTCAGAAACCCTCTAGGTGAAATTTAGAGAGCCCCCGCATTTGTGTGGGGGCTGAGGGGACGTCCTCCCATGCCCCTCGCGGAGGACTAAGGTGCTACCCTCACACCGGGTAGGAAAATCCCCCATTTGGACCGAACGTGTACCTGTTGGACAAGTCAGACGTTTGGTAGTGCCGACGGATAGATGCCACCAAATCCTCAAAGGCATTGATCCAAAGGAAGCTCACGTAGTAGTCCAGAGTGCCAGATCCCATTAGTTCAGCTAAAGACAAGTTCCACGGGCGCGTCACGGGCGTCACGATGTTGTTCACGACATAGTACATATTCCGCCGACCAATGAAGGTCTGGAACACCCTGTGAAATTCACAGAGTTGTCCACCAGAAATGGCTCGCATAGCCCCTCTTTCGCAAGGGGAGGGCCACCGCTTCAGAAGTTTTTCAAAAGGATGGACCCCTTTTTGGCTAGTTTTCTAAAGGAAAGGACACCAGTCCAATGGGGAATACCTTTCCAAATGTTTCGGAGACCGAACACACATTGATCAATTCCTTCGAGAAGAAAGCAAAAAAAACGCCTTGCAGTTCAAAAAAAATGCACGTCTCCTGGTCAAACAATTTTTGGAAACCACTCCCTCGTTCAAACATCTTTTCCGTCAAGTGCCCTGAGGTTTGACTCTCCGAAATTTCGGAAAAAACCCGCCTGGCTCTTGGCCTGGAAGCCCACGAAGGCCGCTGCGGCCATCTCCACCGCCGAGGCGTCCCCGCCCAAAATCTCAGTGCCGCGTGGGTTTCCACAAAGAAGCCGGGCTTCTCAAGTTTGGGATCTCCTTTGGGGGATACCCAACCTTGGGGATACCAAGTCTACCAGGCCCCTTCGTGGATTTCAGGTCAATTCTACCAGCCCCCTCCCCCCCTTGGATTCCAGGTCAATTTGCAGTTTTGTGTGAGAGAGAGAGAACTGCCCTAGGCCCTAGACTGGGACTTTGGACACTGGCAGAGTGGGGAATCTCCCCAAAGTGGCTTTGCTTTAAACTAACCTCAAAAAGTAAGGGGATGCCAACATCTCCACTCACTGCAAACACAGGGTCTGGACAAAAGACAAAAGTCATGGGTTGCTTGGCAACTAGCTGCTCCCCTGCAGACCAACATGGAACCCACAAACCCATCCTTATCAAAAAAGTATCCTTGCAACAGCGGGGGTTACTCCACAAACAAAAGTTACCCCCGGTGTTGGTGCCTTTTCACGCTCAAAATTGGGCCAATCCAAGTCTCAGCAGTTTCGATATTTCTGGGATGTCCTTTGTTGGTTTCCCTGAAAATGTTGGTTTCCCTGAACAACCGACCCACTGAAGGTGTCCTATCAACAAGACTCCATCCAACACGGGTGTCTCTCCGAAGCACGGGCTCCCCTAAATTGGTTGATGTCCTTTTGATTCCCTTTTAACCACTGGCCCCGGCCCGCCTCATTCACGGCATCGAAGCGGTGCCAGCTGCGGTACTTGGCCACGAAGCGCTCCAGATCAGCGGCGCTGCCAGGGACACCAATGTCTGGCAGCGAGAGGTTCCGCGCCTCGTGGTTTTTGGTCAAATGGCTTGAGTCAAATGGTTTCAGTGAAACGTTTCCAGAACATGAAGGGCTTAAACGGGGGTAGTTGGTCTTCCAACGCTTCACATTTTACGCCATGCCCGAATGCTCGGCAATCATCCTGTACCGGAGGTGGTTGGTTCCCATGACCTCATCCCCTCTAAAGGGCGAGTCCCTCGGCCTTTTTCCACAACCATGGCTTGGGGAGTTCCACATCCGAAGGTCCAAGCTATTGGCTAAAGTTGACCAAAGCCTAACACCTGGCGGTTGCGCTGTGAAGCCCTTTCGCAAATCGTGGCAACATACACTGCAGTTGACTTGCTACAAAGTGCCCCTGATCGCACTTTGAAAGAACATGAGCGACTTGTTGAAAAAAAAAACTTCCATGTAACGACCAGTGGTCAGCCTCGACTTGAACAAGCGTGCTGGCAGACTCCCTCCGCTCACAACCACCCCGTCGATGGCGCAAGCCTTGGCGATGGCGAAAAGCTCCGCGGGCTCAATGGATCCGTCCAGGTGCACGTGCAGCTCCACCCGCGCCGCCGCCCGGGCGAGCAGAAAAATCACCCAGGCCGACATCTCCGGGGCTAAGTCGGGGCTTTGAGGCGAAAGGACTTTGAACTTTGGGGGTTTAAGGCTCTGTTTGAGGAATCGGCCCAATTTCCGGAGTTGAGATGTTATAAGACTTGAAATGAGGACATTCTCCTGGCTGTCTTGAAAGCAGGTCGTGAAAGATCATGCTGGGTGAATGGCACTTGTCAGTAGCGGCTCAAGAGCCAATGCTGACGACACGTTGCGACTCTCAACCATTTCAATCCAGTGAAGTCGGGTAAGAATATCCTCGAACGGTGCAACTCTTTTGCTCGGCGGCTCAAAGACTCGATGGACTCGCTCAAGCCATCAAGTTGCCCAACACCCCCGCTGGCAGGGCAGAGCGAATTCGTTCCAATCTGCAGCCCCCAAAGCTGCATGGGGCGAAACAAATCCCCGGAGAGTACTGGGTCCATTGAAGCGATATCCTCAAAATTAGCCTCATGGTGGTCTTAAGGGAAACCACCCACAAAGGGGACCCAGTACGCGACATGCTCAAAAGTCCGAGTTTTCGGACTCGCAGTCGTCCCAGTCTTCCAGCTGGACGGCTCTTCGCACTGGCTTCGAAGTCTTCCGGCCTTTGCAACCTGACCCGAGTGTCTCCCACAAATGGTGGCAGAAAAAACGGCACACACCCACGGAACCGCCCCTCACACCCTGATGATCTTCATGATTCACGCGCTTCCTTGATTTTCCGGCCTTTTGGCATGCTCTTCTTCGCCGTCACCTCCTGATGTCTGGCCAGTAAGGCGGCAATGCCTCGCCGTAGTTCCGCTTCCTCAGGTGCTTTTGCCATGATGCAGTCCCAATGCAGACATGTCACTCCTCCAGCTCGATGGAACCTGCAGCTCTGCTCCAAACCGCAACGAGTACGTGCAGTTGATGCAAAGAAACTGGAAGTACCAATCTCTTGATTTGGATTTTGGGGTGACCTGTTCTCAGGAATGCGCCCCAGCGCGCGTCCTTGCTTCATTTCCCAGGCCTGGCTGAGCTTCGCCTTGCGTGCAAGCCTTCCGCTTGCAGCCAACCTAGCAATGCGCCCAGGAAACCGACAACGAGGCCATGCGAATGGCATCTTGTGCCCTTTTTCCAACGTGTTCCTCCTTCACCCTTCCCGAACCCGTCTGTTTGGGTGGGTGTGCAATCTGTTTCTCTTTGTCCACGTGGTTCCCTAGTTTCGCGGAAAGGAACCCCCCCCCCCCCGGGCCCAAACCCTGCCTCAGACCGCGTTTGGCCTTGCCCGAAGCCCACCCCCAGCATGGCGCGGACCGCCGTGCGCAGCCCCGCATCCTCCGAGCGGCAGAGGATGTTGGCCTTGGATCGGCCGACGTGGGGCGATCGATCCTCACGGGGGCAAGGTGCCGCCGCCCTCCATACATCGCTTTCCGGTTGCCCATAAAAGCTCATACTTCACGCACAAGACGGAGCTCAAGTAGTCAAACCACAACACCTGCGCCAATGGAAGCACTTTGGAGAAGATCAGTGCAAGAAACCTTCAAGAGGTCACCAACCCCCTTTTTGTGGCCGCTATTTGCAGAGATTGAATGGTTGGTTGCCCTACAATGCTGGATGCCCCTTCTGGCTTCTGGGATTTCGGAAGTGTCTTGAAGGAACCCAAAAGGAAACCAACAACAATCTTACAGGTTCCCTTCTCTTGGGAGATACCCAAGACTGGTTGCTTGCAGGTTGCTTTACTGGCTTGTTCTTAGGTAGGCTTCACTAGCAACAGGGTTCTTTTCATTCCCGCACTCCAAGCAAAAGTCTATAGCAAAAAGACTTGGACCACAACTCACGGTTGGTCTCCTTTAGGCCGTTGAGACGGAATGTGGAGACATCCCGCGGACAAGCTGTTCGGGGCCGCGACATGAACAAGTCACAAGCCTGTTATTGGGGGCCGCGAATCACAATTTTTGGGACTGGGAATCACGAATCGAATCACGAGCAACGAACCAACGAATCAAGAGCTTGTTTTTCGAGGCTGCGAATCAGGAATCACTAATCACAAGTTGTGAGCCTGTTCTTCAGTCACGAATCACGAGTCACAAATCGAGCGGTCTCTCCCTTTGAGCACCATCCCATCAGGGGTCCATTATATAATCTAGGGAGCAAACGGGTGTGTCTCAAAATCGGGAACTTCGTTTGGGATGGCAAAGGGAACCAAGCAGAAACCAACAAAATTGAGGTAGCCCCAATTTCGAGAAACAATTAAGTAGTCTCTGCTTCTTTCAGGACTTCTTCAACTGTTGCTTCTTGCTTGGAGTTGCACACGGGGGTGAACTAAGATGAAACTCTGGGGTCGTTTGGTGCATCCTGACATGCAGCCGTGGGGCCATGTGAACCGCAATCAGATCGACATCCTGACATCCGATCAGAGCTCAGACCGAGTGCAGCGCCAGAGCTCCAATGGTTTCAGGACCGATTCATACTCCGCGACGCTTTTGCAACTCAAAAGGCCCTTGCTTTGGTCTTTGGAAGGGCCACCTCTCGGCATGAAGCGAAGCCATTTGCGCTGATGGCAAATGAGTCAGAGAAACTGAGCTACTTTCATTGATTCTACAGTCTTATCTCTTGGTAATTTCTGTATCACCTATTAATCACTGTCATGTCTCTATTTTGCTCCATTGACAAAAAGACTTCTGAAGTCCATGACATCAATAATCGCAAGGAAAGAGAAACACCAAGAGCTGAGAAATACAATTAAACATGAGATGGAATTCGTTTCTGGATTGACCTGACTGTGCAAATCTGTGCGACGCTGCTATCCCTTTCTGCAGATCAAGTGGCAAGTGCTGATAAAGGAGCCGGTTCACATTATACGCATTGATCCCTGCCACGGGGGGGTCCCCCACGTACCGCGCGGCAATCTGACGAGTGCTTTTCGGGGGAGGGGTTCTGGAGAAAGAGGGGTCCCAGGCCCGAATTCCCCCTGCCAGCTCTTTGCTGGTTCGGGCTGTTCTGCCTCCTTTTGCCGCATATCTGGAAAACCCTATGTTTTGTGACCTCCTTTTGGCGAAAACGTAGAACATATGTGTTTTTTTCGGGAAAATACCGGGGAGTGAAGGGGAAGGTCACCAACAACGTCAAACAAAAACTGCGATGATCCATCACACCATCTGGTCACCAAACAAGTTCCGTTGACCGAGTTCGCGGCGGACTGCCATCCCCTATACAGAACAACAGCCACGCTGCTTCCGCAACGGGAGGGCCGAAGCCTAAATGTCATGTCGCGGCGCTTGTTTGCTTTGTGTTGGAAGTGGATGTAGCAGGAAAGGCCTGCTCAGAACGACGCCAAGCTGACCATTCTACACGGCGCAGCCGCCACAAATCGTAGTTTCCGCGCATAGCGATAAACCAACACATGGCAAAGCGCATTGCAAACCCCAATTGGTCGCGCTAAAGGCAAAGAACTGACAGTATTCCTTTGCCGTCTGACGTGCCAGCCGGAGCAAGTTGACACATGTTGAAAATTGGCAAATTTCTGAGTAGATTCTTCAAGTTTCAAACTCATTGTGCATGTCTCTCAATTTGTCTAAGTAGTTGCAAGTAGTGTCTGCATGCGGTTGTGACTAGTTACAGATAGCTTGATACAAATGGTTTCAAGTACGTTCCGTATTGTTCTCACATAGTCTCAAAAGTGTTCTAAAGTTTATAAATAGTTTCTAATGGCTTACTTATTATTTATAAACAGTCTCGAACAGTTCTCTTAGTTGTTATCAATATGTTCAAATAGTTTCTCATGGAAAACAGAAGGCCCAAATAAACACGCCCATGTTGGTCCTAAAGTGTATAAATATATATATATATATATATGTGCCCTTTCTCCCTAGAAAGGTAGTGGATTGGGGGACGTGGAAACCCTCTTAGATCCGCGCAGAACTCTGATTCCTCTCTGGCTGCCCAGCCTCCGTCTTCTCGCTTTGGCTCTGCGCCTGCCTTACGAGCCACAGGCGCATTGACCGTTGCAGCCGACCCACCCTTTTGGTCTTCTCAAATGACTGCATTCAAAGGGCTGGAGAATCTTGAGGGAAACACAAAATCGAGTTCGTCCAAAATCAAAATCCGCGAAATTATTCTGCCGAATCCTTTGCAGCACGCTGAGCTTCGGAGGCACAAACCCGGCCAGTCGCTCACGGCTCTTGAGTCAGCTGTCCTCAGAGTGAGCTCCACGGAGTCGTGCAGAATGTCGCCGGCGAGTTCCCTGAGAAACAATTGGCTCGCCAACTCTTGGGTTCACATGAAAGGCCCCGACCGTGCATAAGTGCAAACACATACATACCCTCAAGATGACCCCATGGGAGGCATTGCCAATGCGATAGACATATCCGAAAAATGTTGTACACCTAGGTTCATAGGGCAGCAGGGGCATTCAGTAGCCTAGGGTGCAAGGCGCACGTGCGGGAGGACTCCGGATATTTGCCTTGCTCAAGTCCTGCCTCGTGTACTCATCCCATGACTCCACTGCAAGAATCACCTGTGCCATGGGACTGGGGTGCGTGAGGAATTCTCAATCAAAGGAAGCCCAACCACCCACCCACCCCTTGCAGCTATTTGTCCACTGGAACACAGGGTTGTTCCCATTTTTGTGCTGCCTTGCTTAGAGGCGTTCATATGAATGCCATCAAGCATCCCAAGCATAGCATGCAGCCGGGCATGTCCTGTTCAGTCCAGATTGGCTGGAAAGGCCAATCAACTTGCGCCGTGCTTGGTCATCCATATTCGTGTTCTCAACATACCGAAAAGACACATCCGTGCTCTCCGAACCGCAAAGCTACCAGCTCTGCCAGCGGTTCACGACATGCGGCTGTTTTTAGAGGCCAGGAGGATGGGCTGACACCTCTACGTGCCGAAGGCCAGCCCGCCACGGGCGCAAAACTCAAGGTTTGGGGGGACGCCATGAAACCAGCAAGTGAGAAGTGAGCAGCAAGCAAAAACCAGTGGCGGTGGGCTCTGGTTAGAAGGTTTTCAAAGGCTTGCATAGGTTGCAAAGGTTTGCATGGGCCTTTCTAGAATCCTTGTTCAACGAGGTAGTGGAAACTTCTACTAAAATTGCCAATAGGGGTTTTGGGTGGCTGCTCATGAGCTGGGGTCCTAGGCCTAGGTCTTTCGCCTGTACACGGCTCGTACTGTGCCCAGAAACCGCCAGATGGCTGGTTTGCTTGTTGGGGTTGGCAAGCCCTCCCTTTTGGCAAGGAAAACGCTACCAGGGCCCCAATAGGCTCCATGAGGATCATGCCAGAGATGAGCGACACCAGGGCCCACTCTTCAGGTTTGCACAGACTGAATCGAAATTCATGGTGGTGTGTTAATAAATGTACACTGCATGCAAGTAGGTAGATAGTTCTGTGTATATGTATGTACGTGTATGTATGTATGTATGTATGTATGTATGTATGTATGTATGTATGTAGGTAGGTAGGTAGGTAGGTAGGTATGGTATGTAGGTATGTAGGTATGTAGGTATGTATGGTATGTATGTATGTATGTATGTATGTATGTATGTATGTATGTATGGTATGTATGTAGTATGTATGTATAGTATGTATGTATGTATGTATGTATGTATGTATGTATGTATGTATGTATGTATGTATGTATGTATGTATGTATGTATGTATGTATGTATGTATGTATGTATGTATGTATGTATGTATGTATGTATGTATGTATGTATGTATGTATGTATATATATGTGTACCATACATGCACATACACACATATATATATAATGTCTACGTGTATAGATTGTGCAAATGCATCTCTCTCTTCTTGTATTTGCGTGTGTATGTACCAGCATGCACACTGTGATCACTATGTATCCATGTACATAACACACATGGATAATATATTGGCTGTGTTTGTTATTCGTATCTCTTCCACTCGCACCCGGAAGCGAAGAAAGCGTGCCTGGGATGGGGCCGGCAGCAGCTGCAGCTGCTCCCGCAGCAAGGGGCACTCCTGCGTTCTCACTTGTCAAAATGGGGGAGAGCCCTCCTCCCCCCCAAAAAAACAACAACAGGAAGAATGGGTTGTCCCAACACGGGATACGAGTACCCTAAAAGACGCAACCCCCGTCTCTCAGCGAGCCGTTTAGTTCCTCTTGATTCTCTTTTCCTGCACAATTTCCGGAAGCTCTTCTTACATTGGCTCGAAAGATTATTGACGTTGCAAAAACCATAACTGATCCGATACGGCCGTCCTTGGAGTGGAGGATCACCAGGATCTGCCAGCCTGCAAATGGGTTCAAGCACTCACTCGAGCAAACCAGCAAAAGTTTCAAGCGTGATGCAACGGGAAACCCTTCCCACAAGGCAAGCAGTTTGGCACCTCAACAGGTAACTTGCCACAGGTTTGGTCCGGTCCGCCTGGGTTCGGCTGCTGTGGGATCATCTCCGGCGAGAGCACCCTTGCCGCTGACAAAAGAAACCAAGGCCATCCCAACCAACATCAATGCACATGTCCCTCCTGGTGGCTGGAGACAGGAGAGCAAAACCGTAAGGTCGCCCTTTTACATTTGGAGGGCCCATAATCTCAGGACACAAGGAATGTGCCGATAGGCAGCTCTTGTGAGGAAGTGAAGGGACCAAGCGGAGGCTGTCCACAGCTCGTGAAGAAGACCATGTCTGTCCAGGCCCCAGACGTCGCAGTCGCAGCCAGCGCCTGAGAAAGATCATCCAGCCACCAGCCAGATCGTCAAACAATTTTTCGTGGACCTAAATCCTTATGCAAATGATTTCTACCAGAGGGTTCCCCATGCATACTCCTCTGCCCCAGTGTTGGTGCAACCGGCGAACCGGTGTCAAAGAACTGAACCCAAAGATCCTTGCTCAAAAGAAATATTTGGTCTCGCCCAAGCAACTGGAAACTCAAAAAGCAAGCGATATCGGGAACTATACAAAACAGTGGAACAGACTCATTGGCCAACCTGAATTTAACAGCAAAGCCAAATCTAACCCCCCAAGTTGCGCTTGCGCCAATGCCGGGAAAAAAGCGCGCCTGGCTCCACTCGCCGACTTGGGCAGCCAGGATATCTACGGCGTCCGTGACCTGGTACCCAGTCCAGTCAAGAAACTTAGCGGGTTCTCGTCCACTTTTCAGCCAGCGTGTGTGTATCGAGCAGGAGCGTTGTCTTTGATGCATCCTCAACATGTGCCGAACGTAGCCGTGCTCTGAGGAATGATTTTCAGAAAGTGAAGCCGGGTGCGCGAGAAAAATGCTGAACATGTACCATGGCTCACATACGTCGATAAAGGGAGCTCCCTTTTGCTGGCTTCCAGCCAGGAGCCGTGAGGAAACTGGAGCTGCAACAAGCTTGAGACCACATGCTTTCGAGGGAAAACAGACCAAAACACTTATTTTTCACTCGGGCCTATTCCTCTGAATGCCATTATCCGTCCCTTCTAAAATGGCAAGTTGTTCAAGGAAGCACCACAGGGTTCCCAATACTGCCCCTTCGAGATCACGACACCTCAAGGTAACTCACTCAGCTCGGCAACAAGGCGACGGTTCAAGCCCTTTGGCTGCAGAGTCACACACCGACCGTTGAAGGACTGGGAACGAACTCTGCCAGGAGCCCAGACCCGCCAAACCAAGCAGGTAGCTGGGCCACCGGACCAGCACCAACACGGGCAGCCCGTGCTGCGAGCGGCACAGCGCAGGCCTCGAAGAAAAAATGTTGGGACTTCCATAACAGGGAAACCAACAGGAAACCGAAAGGCCAAGAAGGAAACCAAGCAAAACAAACACCAGGACAAAACATGAGGAACCCATTCAGAAACCATGTTTAGAGGTGCCCTTTTCGAAAACACCTCACATGACGCAGGCTGAGGGACAATCCTGCCAGTCAAGACTCAAAAAAATGAGGGCCAGCAATCCGGACATTCAGAATCCTTTGCTGGTTAGCCTCCCGATGAAGGGTCCAGGACCATACCTATCAACCCCAAGCACCAGATCGTGTGACCATGGCACAAGTGCTTGAAGAGAACGCGGGGGTGAAATCTTGTGCACCAAAGCAATCCTTGAGGAAGAGGCAACACCACATCCGGCCAGGCTGATGCAGGACAAAGTGCCTCAGGCAGATCGGATTTCTGTGCCATCCCTGTGCCGCGGTCAAAACTACTCTGTGGATCATGGCCGTGGTGTCTATATGAGGATCATCTACATTGGTCTAAAGCCCCATGAAAAGTTTGAGGACCATTCCTACCGACCACAAAGCAGAGGAAGGCGGCAGCACCTTAGGGGGAAGAATGGGGAAGAGTCTAAAATGAAACTACTAACCATTGAAAGAACATGTGTAACAAGAGTTTATACAAGCGCTTTTACATGAAATTGAAAGACTGGGGAGAAAACATGAAATAACACAGAGATGAAGCTTTGACACCTCTCTCAGAGTTGTAAATCCACGGCAAATCGAAAGGCAACCTGGAACTGGGTGATCTCACACACATGACAACTCATGGCATAGAGCCTCCAACCAGCAGTCAGGGGGACATGGGTAACCCCACAAAATGGTGGGTCTCCCTTGAGCTTACCTTTCAACCAACGGGGAAGGGGCACCCTCAAAAAGCACCCACCCATCCTTTATTGATACTTGGGAGGGAGGGTAACCAAGCAGGGGTAAAGCTTACCATCAGGGTCAATGCCATGTAGCTCTGAGGATGTACCCCTTGTTTTTCGGGAACCCTGCCACCTTTCAGTAGTTTGGAACGATTGGACCCTCCCTGCACGGGTACATGACAACAGCCTCATGATATGCTGGTCAAAGTGAAAAGGAAAGGGAAGCCACCTATTTCAGGTGTTTTCCAATTTCGAGACAGAGATCAGCCCCTTGCGACGCGAAATCTCAAACTTTGCTCGGGCAAGGGCCGCCACATCCTTCCCACCGAGGATGGACTGCCATGCCAGCTCGCACGACTCATCCTGACAGCACTGAGGCTGTTCGCGCGGGAGAGCTTGTTGTCACCAAGTGGTGTCTCCGCATGGGTTGTCTCCGCCGTCTTACAACCCCAAGCAAGCTGAGCGGTTCCTTTTGGCTCCTCCTCATAAACCAACCCAACAATTGCCCAAACATGGCACCAAGCCTCAAAGGAACCACACCCAGCACGCAAATCCCTGTGATCCCCCGCGCTGGCGCTCTCGGTGATCTTCAGCAAGGACAGAACCTGGGCCCAAGATGCAAGTTGCCCATGGCATGGTATTTTTCTTCAAAAGTTCTGCATTGCGAAGCATCCTGGTGATCTTTAAGTTTCAGAACTTGTGCAGTTTCACAATGAGTGGCAGCTTCCCGAAGCGCAAGGGGCCGTAGTTTGCAACTATTCATGGGGGAACCCATTCACCAACTCATTGATTAGACGGGGGGAATGTCTCGCTTCGCAAGCACCTCCCAAAACCCACCCCGAACCGGCCCCAAAGCCACCCTGCCTCCCAAACCTAAGCCAGCCGGAACCCAACCCTATACTAGCCCCGACCACCCCGAACCAATGCAAACCTTACCCTAGACACACCCTAAGCCCACCCTCGAACCACCCGAAACCCACCCTAAACCAGCCCTAAACAAACCTGAACTGAACCACACCGTGGCGCCCCCCCCCGCTGGCCCCACAGGGCCTCCCTATATTTCCTTGGTAGAGCAAAACACTAGTGTGCCTAAATCCCTCTGCGCCATGTGTGGAATGTGCCCCCCCCGGCGATCCTTGGCAATGCAACCAGAATTTGCAGGTAGTACATGGGTGTCTCTTTTCTGGGGGATTGATGCTTCGCCAATGGTTTGGCTGGGCTCTACGAAATGCTGACGCTTTCCATATGGTTCACACCCAGTACGGCAACGTGCTGTTTCTAGCACCGAGCCCAGTTTCCCTTCTCGCTCGGCTTGGCGAATCGGTTTTGAAGGAAACCCAGAAATCAGCCGTGATCTGATCTTGAGACGCATGGAGCACAAGGCCATCGGATTTCTCGCACCCGGCCTCCTGTCTGGAGCGAAGCATGGTGCGGGACTGGACAAAGGGAGCCGGGGCTCTCAGCCAAAAGTGGCCGCAAGCGCCGGGTGAGGTTGCCACGGCCTGTGAAAAGGTGCAGGGCTGCCTATTCTCAAGCATCACCACACCGAATGGAAACTCACTTCAAGTTGGCGCTCAGGATGTCTATCTCCGAACGGAATCATTAAAAAACAACTCCCATTTGAACACAAGGCGCGGCGGTAGCCGCATCAAAGCGGAGGTTGGCAGCATTTTTGGTCTCGAGTCAAATGAGTATTCGCTGCGCGCAATGTGTCTTCATTCCGGGCAGCCATGCACAGGTCTCTCATGCAATCAGCTTCTATGCCGACCAGGTGAAAATCCGGATCAGGCAGCGGGCGGTGCGGTGACTTCCGCCTCGGCTGGGTCCTCCCTACCTGCCTTGCCACAGCTGCATCCGCATGTGTTCATCAATGGTCAAAGAACCCGTGTGTTGGAACCTGTTTAAGATCCCTGAACTCACAGGGGAGGGAGAAGGGTACAAGGTGTGGTCGGAGACAACAAACAAAGCACAACCAGTGAATGCAGCCTGAACAGCCACCCCGTCGTGCCAATTTGCGCGAATTGCTTAGCAGAGCAGGCAGGCCGCTTGTAAATATTGAAATTGGGGCGCAGGTAGCGGACAAACATTCTCCTTTTGCTCACCACGGCATGTGCCCAATGCTCTGGCCAACCTGCAGTTTGGGTCATGGCTCCTAAGCCGAATGGTTTTATGGCCGTTACGAAAGATAAGATTTCTTTGGTATCTATTCCCTCAAAACCTACATGGAACCCCAATTGTTGAGATCTTTCGAAAGGAGACTACTCTACAGATTCGGTTTTCCCTTAAACAACCTCTGAGGGAGGGCTTCCCACAGTCTCTCCTCAACCAAGCGGGGAGGGCAAAAGGTTGAATCATCCAAAAACGGCCTCCAATATTCAACAATGTCCATTTGAACGCGCTGTGGGCTTGGACATGTCTGGCTATGGCCATTCACCATGGTTCTCTCTCTCCTTTTCCAAACCATCCCGTCAGAGACGTAGCGTCTCCCCTTTTGGACGCCTCAAGAACTGGCATTTCAACCCACCCTGCCTCCCCTTTTGGGCCCCCCGGCCGCCTGGACCTGCTCCCGCGCCAGCTTGGCCCAGCTGGGCTCCTGGGATTGCACCTCAGGCATGGCTGAAACCGCGAAGTAGGACCCCTAGTTTGACACACACCCGTCAAACAACGAACCCTTTGATTTGAACTCTTTAAAGAGCAACTAGAAGAAAACCAGCAGAAAGAAAGGAAACCCAAAGATGCCATTCAACCTGGCACAAATAGAGCTGTAGACAAGGTGCAATCTACTCTTACTGAAATCATGTGAAAAAGACGTGCTTAGAAAGAAAATGAGCGCCATCTACTCTGCTGTCCAAAATCATCAATGTCATTCGAAAGACTTTTGCGTGCCCTCCAACCCCCCCCCCCCCCCACCCACGATCGCTACAAACTGCATTGCAACATGTTCACCTCTTTTCCAGGGACCACCTTCTTGCTCCCATGGCCATACCTCCCTGCAGGAAAGCAAAGCATAGAACCTCGAAACACAGTTTTAGAGGCAGAACAAAGAACAAATTCCAGGGGAGTACCTGAAGCCTGTGTTGCGGGTCAGGTGCCAAGGAGCCGTTTGCATGGCAAGCTGGACTGTTCATCCCCAACCAACAGTAGATACCTATAGTGTCACTCGAAGGAGCTTCCTTGCTTGAAGAGAGACGCAAGACTAGGGCAAAATGAGTAGAAACATGTTGACGAAACAGATCTGCCTTTGGAGTCTTTGCTGCTGTTCTGGCTATCGTTGACTCTTTCCAGAGATTGGTGCTTGGCTGGCATGTGCCATGCAGCGATTGTTTCGTTAGGCTGCTAAACCGACAACGTGACAGGCACATGGTTTTGCCCCAGGCTGGAGCAGGGACGACTTTTAGGGATAATGTGCACACGTTTCGAGCTTCAAGCTGAGATGGCCAGTACGTCTTTCTTTCTGTGTGACCATGTTTTTTGTTGTGAAGAGGATCAGGTCCTGAGTCAACATAAAGGTTTGCTCGATGACCGCGCTGGCTCACCAAACCAATGACATGCCTCATGGCTCCCAAGATGGGTTCGGTGCCAGCGAAGCAGCTCAAGATGCCAAAGCTGCACGTCACTACGTGAAGCAAAGGTGAGTGCCGGGAGCCCACAATGTGGCTGTGGGTCAAAACCAATGGTACCATTTTGGGGTAGGTGCACCACCCATTTTAGTCTAGTTTAGTGGGGATTGGGATGTTCACAGGAAGTACGGAATTTTGACCCATGGCCATGTGTGAACAAAGGGCCAACATTGCTCGCAAGCGAAGCATGGCGAGCTGGCTCCAGACACCCGGCACTGTGCGACTCTGGCCTAGACCTGCCCCTTTCGACATGTAGATGCAGCGGTCCGTGTCTTCTGCACGTGCAAAGTATCCACTCACATGGGAGTCTCAAAAGCCAGGACCTTTAAAAAGGATACTGACAGGCACCTCCTGTCAATCATTCAAATATTGCCATTCCCCACAACCGGCCTTCAGGTCCTTGCGGAACACTGCCAGGCCCTGCTTCAGCATGGTCTCCCCCAGCGCCCCGAACTCGTTACTGCGCGCCGAACGGAGCGTGCGGGCTGCTTTTGGCTCGGCAAGCACCAATTTTGCGCCAAGAAAGAACCCGCCACCTCTTGCAAAGCACTCCTTTTGCCAAGCTGGTTCATCTTTCAACGACACGAACCTTGGCATGGAGTAACAAAACCTCTTCCCCTCAAAATGGAGAGGTCGATAACATCGGCGCGTCTTCGCATGCGGGCCAACCACTCTTCTTTTGCTGCTAAGGGACAGCCATAGGGCAACCAACAAAATTTTCGGGTTGCCCTCTCCCTTTTTTGGCATGGACGCCCAAAATATTAGGGGAATCCCTCCCCCTTTTCGGCACGCCTCCCCCCTTTCGTGACCCCCCCCCCCCCGCAACCCCACCCCCCCCCCCCGCCTGTACAGTCTGAGCTCTCGGAGCTTGGGAGCTGCTCCCGCGGCCAGGGCGGCCACCAAGGCCTGGGCACCCTCAATGGTTGCAAAGGGATGGAGAGAAACCACCCACTGCGGGGGGAGTTCTCAAACACGCCTTGGATGGTTTCAAAAGGAACGCCACAAAGAGACAACCACTTCTATGGGGTCCCCTACTGCAAATGGAGAGAAGAAAAAAAGCGCGCCAGGCACCGATCAATGGAAACAAGGCTAGCATCGGGGGAAACACGTGCCTAATATTTTCCTCCATGGAGGTGTTGTCTGCGATCAAATCAAGATACATAGCAGCTCATGCCAATCAATGTCTGTCCTGCACGCCCGTGTCTTTGATGTGGTTGTGGGATAAGTCAAGCTCGGTGACATCCTCGCACGAGGTGCTCAGCACAACATCGTGCCCCTCTTGAACTGAAATGCGCTTCTCGAGGACTCCCGCCTCTTGGTTCACAAATTGCATCAACAAACACACGAAACATCTCGAATATCATGATCTTCTGGCTATCACATCGGTACGGGGGACTGGGTGAAAGACAATGTGAAAGGCAAGCAAGCATGCACCTCGTTTCCCTTCAGCTTCTCGATAATGTGGTTCAAGTCTTCGTCGGTTGCCTATGGGTCAGAGGCCGGACGGCAACCTGATCTGACCCTTGGGCAGCTCAGTTCTGGGATTTAGCCGGTCGAACCTCTCGACTTTCTACCCGATACACACTGGACATGGGCGGCTGTCTCCAAATAGGGGGAAGCCCTGCTTGAAAAAAGCACTGAGTGGATTTGGTTACCCTTCACAACTCCGGCAAAGGTGGCTTACCCTTTTCACCTTGGCTTTCAGGGAAACTAACCAGCTTCCCGGCCCAAATGCCAAAGCGCACCTGCAAGAAGCTAAATCTCATCGATGCCACACCTGCAGGAGATACCACGCATTCGGCACACACGCACGGAAAGAATGACAAGAAAAGCAAAGGACGGAAAGAAGCGAGCAAGCAAGCAAGCAAGCAAGCAAGCAAGCAAGCAAGCAAGCAAGCAAACAAGCAAGCAAGCAAGCAAACAAACAAATGCGCGGAAAACCCCCGACTCAATTCCAAGCCCGGGCTTCTCGATGCTACAAGGCGCCGCGGCGTCGGAAAACCCGCGGCGAGGAAAACCGATGGCCTGGCGCTAAGGCCTCTTGCCAGCGGCCGCAATTCTGCACCATGCCCTTGTGAAGGTCCTGGCCAAACAAGGCAGGATCCGTTGTTTTTTTTCTCTTTTCTTTTCCGCTTGCAATTCAAAGTGCGGGATCCAAATTCGTGGTCCTCGTTTCGAGGCCATCCTTTGGTACCCGCTTTGAAGAGAAGCCCCCCGCAAGAAAAGCAAAAGGCAGGTCATCCCTTCTGAGCGGACGCGCGGAGGCGGAGGCGCGCGAACGGTCCGACGCGTGCTGCGAGGTGTCCAGCTCGTCCAAGGCGCAGCCGGGAGCGTTGTACTGGCAGTCCTGATGTCCAAAGCTGTTCAAGCTCGGCGGACACCGACCGAGGCGACAAAAACACAAATTTATCCCAAGCTCACATGCGTCGGCAGCCCGAAGGGTTTGTCTGGCAAGTGTAAACCTCGCACTGGGAATATATTGGAATCCTTGGAAGTGCGGTTTTCATGGCCGAAATGGATCTGTGTCAAAATTGGGGGTATCCGTTTTGGGAGTGGTGTCCCCTTGGTTTCATGACAACGCACCCAAAGGAAGCATTATTCCGTCAAAGATGCTTGTGCGCAGCCCCAGAAGGGTGCTTGCATGAGTATGGATGCTTGCGCCTGTTTCTCCTGCAAAGGGAACGGACCCCTAAAAAATGGTGGGGAGTCCTTTCGGTTGTATTCAAAAGAATCAGAGAAAGCTGTTCGACGGTCCGTGAGGTTTTGTCAAAACTACCGGTAGTCTATGGTCGATTAAGGAGCTTTGCGGACTCGCTAAATTTCGATCACAAGAACTACTCCCCAGACCCAGTAACCGCACCCCACCACAGAAGGCCATGGACTGCTCTCACCGACCCACTTGAGTATGTGTCAAAACAGGAACTTGAAAGATGGCACGCCTCAAACAAAGTCACACCCACTTGGCGCAAGGTTCATCGGCTCTTTCACTTCGCACGGTGAAACCCGGTGAAACCCAGCACTCAGCACCGATGCCAGCCAAGACTGACGAACAAAGTCTTTTGGCCCTGGAAGAATATGGACAAAGGGCTGGAAGGCTGTAAAGTTAAAACCTGGATGCTAGATTGCTAGAGACCTATCCCGCGCGAGGTACATGAGTTCCGCGACCAGAAGGAGGGCCCTGATGTGCTTCGGTCTTCTGCGAGTCTGTCAATCAGGTCCTCAATCAGGCAACCAATGACTCTGCACTGATGGGTGTTCAAATTCGGGACTTCCACCTTTCGTTGGCTTGGCGCTATTTCCCCTGACACATCATTTCATACAGGTCCCCTTCCAGTTCTCTCCAACAGCTTGTTCAGGGAAGGGCCCAGCAACAACTCGCGCGGGTGTCCTCATTTCGTAACCCCATGGCAACAAATGGTGACAGCTCTGACGAGCAGTTCTCTCGGGGAATACCAAAGCCATATGCGACTAGCGCACTTGAGCAGTGGTCCATTGATTGTTGGCTCTGACGATATGGGCGTCAGGAATTCTCCGGGCCTTGCTAGATCTCCAATTCAGCCGCACTGGAACCCCGTACAATGGCTACAAGAAGGTTGAGCGCTGCTCTCTTTGGGTTGCTCTCAACCCTTGTAGGCGGAGGTTGCAATGGAGGCGTGCTGGCATGTTCTTCCACGACTTTCGGGGATCAAGTTGCAGCGGCGTCGCATGGCAACATGGGCGAGGTCAGGCAACTTGAATTGTCTTTGAAAGCCAAAGTAATCCTTGTCTCCGGGTCTGTTTTTTGAGGGCATACCCTTTTTAAGCTTGCTCAGGGAACAAACCGCCCACCTGAAAAACGTCAAAGGTTACAAACAACGTGAGAAAATGCACGAAACACCACCAGGTTCCTGATCTCGGCACCATTCGGCACCAGCCAACAGGGCCACCTGCGTGAAAAGCCAAGCTTTCGTCCGGGCCTGGCACTCCTCCAGCTCCTGCTCCGCGGAGCGCCTCCGCTGGCGCTCCTCCAGCAGCTGGCGCCGCAGCCTCCGCAGCGCCGCCTCTGCCGACGCGCCCTGCGACAAGTGCCGGGGGTGGGGGAGGGCAGTGGAGCAGAGATGATGTGGCTGTGGGTGAAGAATAGGTACCCAAAATGAAACCCTGGTAAATGGAACCAAGGACGAAAACCTGCGGTCCCCTGGTGGTTTCATTTTGACCCATACCCATGTTCCCTTTGAGTCAAGTGAGTGGGATGTCCCCTTACAGGAGAAAAAATGCAACGCAGCGAAAGCGCCTCCAGGTTTTTGCTGACAGCCTGTGACCTTTGTGGACGGGGCGTATCTTTGGTATCCACACCTATAGGAGCCGGTGCGTTTTGAGCAGTTTTATCCTGAAGTCATGCCAACAGTAAAATATTACTACCACAGCGGGGACGGACAACATATGCAGTCCAAGGTTGCCTGTCACAGAGTGACTCATGGCCAACGTGAACGACGTGGGCTGGGATTGGATTGAGTTAGCGCGAAGGGATGGCAGCTCTCCCCTTGTTTGAGCGGTTATTTCAGCCGTGGCTTTTGCATCGATGGCCCAACAAGGTTTCCACAGCAAGCTAGGCTGATTGTGTCAGGCTAGGCATTTGTAAGCTCCTGGTTGCAGTTGGGCACTGTTAGCTTGCTAGCTGCAGGTTTACACCTCGAAACTTTGTGAACGGAAGACAGACGAAAGCTGATGCAACATGGGTGCAATTATGGGTTTTCCCTATGGTTTTGTGCGACAGCTGTTCCCAGGCGTTTGTTTGCTCATGAGCCAAAACAAACGCTCCCATAGGCGCGGTTAACTTGTTTTTGAGGGTCTTCGAAATGTGAGGGTGAGAGTTGAGAAGGCATGTACCAAAATAGTTTGGATATCGAAAGCAGCTGTCTCAACCTGAGCTCAGCCCCTCTTGTATGTGAACCAAAAAGGAAACCCTAGCCATTTTGGTCAAGTTGAGAAGCACCCACACTAGACTCACAAAACTGTTTGATCTCCTCGAATACCCCCTCCCCTTTCCGCACGTTGCTGGGCGGGTTTGCCTATCTTCCGCCAGCTTGATGCGGCATCGCATGTTGCTTTCTTGTAGAAATCTGGCTTTTTGTTGGTTTCCTTGTCTCCAATCTCCGGAAACGCCCCTCCTCCGGCTCCGTTTGGGTGGCCGCGTCGGCGACTTGCGCCTTCTTGGCGTCCTGTTCAAAACGGGGTTGCCGGGCCTACCCGGGTGTTGTTGACAGGAATTGGCCCAAAACCGCAACGGTTTCCTTTTGGTGACCCTTGCACCAACCACAAGGAGGTCCGAGATCCATTTTGAGAAACTCCCAGGCTGCACAATTCCCTTTTCTGTCAGTACGGGGCAATCTACTTGGATGAAACCAGATTGACATGCACTTTTCGCGTGAAGCCACCTTCCCAAACGCTGGAATGCCAGAACCATTCCCAGAAAGCACCGCTCCTGGACGCAGTTGTTGATTAGATCATTGTCAAACATCGTGGACAGCCCCGGTGACCAAGGCTCACGAGGCTTCGGCGTCTCGCCGTCACTCAGATGGTACTCCTCGATGCCCGCGGGCTCCTCGGGCTCCTCGGGCCCCGCAGCCCAAGCCCAGCGCTCGGTGCCTTCCATGGCGACACATGGCGGCGATCGAGCGCCACATGGCTGCGGTCGGTGCCTTCCAGATTCAATTGTGAAAAAACGACAAACCCTGCGACTGAAAGTAGGTCTTGGGAATCATATTTGTCTGCTTTCCTCTTGGCCTTATCAACCCACCAAGCGGCATGTCTCATTCCACACCACGCTGCAATCTGGCGGTGCCCGTCCTTGGGCCACTCCTTTGTGTACCAAGGCGGTCGCTCTACGCCGTTGTTGTCGGCCGCACCTCGATTCATGCCAGCATTCAAGTCCTCGTTCATCTTATGCTCCGCATGGGCCTGGTAGGCGCATCGCTGTGCCGAACAGAGGCACTTCACTGGCGTTGTGCGAATATGTGTGGAAAAAGTGAAGCCACGCCTTGTGGGTTTTGGGATCCACCTTTCCTTCTGCAGAGCCCTCAGGCCCGTACAAAGGCTTGTCCTTCGCCTTGCGAACGCGCCATCCCAAGTTTCAGTGGTCCGGGTCGTTGCTTTCCTCTTCACCGGAAAAAAGAAGAAAAAAAAAGCCCCCCCCCCCCCGCCTTCTCCAGGAAACCTTTGCTAATGGCGGCCTTTGCCTCTTGCACCTCCTCTACGATGGTGGCCTTTGACTCGGACGCATCCTCCTCCTCCACCTTGAAGCAGAACGCAAGAGTGAGCCGAAGCGGGCTGCCTGCTTTGCGCAAAGCACCGGCTAAACGCGAAGTCAAACAACCGGTGCAACAACGGATCATGTTTCCCTAGGCAAAAGATGCCGGCAACAAAGGCGCGTGTATTTGCTTGGAGGCTTCCGCAAAGGGCCAGGCAATCTCTTCCACCAGCACCATCCCAAGTCGGAAGGCTGGAAATGGCTGCATACGAAGCCAATGCAAGCTCACGCCTGGTCTGCAGCCGGCAACTGTTATGGTTCACTCAACAAGAAAGTCACCTGGATGTCTAGATTTCCGGACTCAGATGTGAGGCGACGCTGGCAGCGAATCTCACTGCTCAGCTTTTTACACGGGACTTGCGCCAGTAGGCCTGGCTTGCTCAAGGCAAGACCGGGACTGAATTCACGGACAGGCACTGGATATCCAGGGCCTCAGAGCGAGGCGAAAAATGCCTACCAAAAGCCCGCGCTTCGCCACTTGGCCCCAGCGACAAAGGCGCATTCTGGCCGATGCATGTTGCAATTGAACAAACATGAAACATGCTCGTTAACAGGCTCTGTCAAAACTATGGGATTGGTTTCTTTGCCTTTTGCACACCTTTCAAACCCATCCGTAGCAGTGTTGAACACCAAAAGCCGGGTAGCTAATACCCGCGCGAAAACTATGCATCTCACTGTCCCGCAATTGTCTGCGCGATGTATGGCTGATTGGGGATGGAGTCATATGACGGAGAGATATAGACCCAACCAACCTTCCCACACGTATCACTATCCTTCCTCTCCCTTTCCTAACTCGCTCTTGGACAAGTTCTCGTTAAGACGGTCAAGGGAGAGAAGCGAGTGGACAGTGATAGACGAGAATGGGAAAGAGCCTCTCAGCTTCATGATCCATCATTCCTTTTCTCTTTCCATCTCCTGTTCCTCTCGCACGCCAACATCACGTCCAAGACTTTATGATTGGTGTGGTGATAGGAATGGAAAGGAAATGACGAAGGAATCCAACTCATGAAGACAGCCCACAGCGACGAAGCAGGCGTGGGATGGAGGCTGTGTGCTTGTGTCCTTTCTTTTGTCTCACTTCTCATCTCCTTTCTCTTTACTAATCTCAACAAATGAAAAGGAGATGATTGAAGAAGTGATGAAAAAAGAGATGGAAAAGGGAAGGGATGAGATAGAGAAAGGAACTGATGGACATCCCTTTCTCCTCCCTTTCCTCGCTGCATCTCTTCATCTGGGATCTGCATCACCTGGAATTCCGATAGGACAGAGAACAGGATGAAATGGTCCTTGATTGCCAAGCCTTTCCACTCTTCGCTCAGGTCTGTTGGTGAGAAGCTTGGCAAGGAATGGAGAAGTGGGTGGACAAGCCTTCATTGTCTGGTGAGAGCTATAGAAAGCTAGAAAGCCAAGTGTCCACCATTGCAGCACGGGCTCAAGAACTACATGCGGGCTGCTCGGACGTGCGCAAGCGCCTCTGTGAGGGTCTCAGACAGACCTTTGAGGCTACGCCAAGGCTACGCTGGGGCGACGTTGAGGCTAATTGTGGAAGGAACAGAATGCATACGCCAGGCGAGCCGGCCGTCTCAGGTTCAATGAAGAGGTATTAGTCTGTTCAAAGCACATGCAACAACAGGGTGACAGCCCAGACTGCTCAGCTTTCCTGAAAGCACTTCGACTTCTTCACAATATACCTCATGACGCGAGTCTGAATTCGCTTCGTTTACGCAGGGCGCAAGTTGGATACGCAAATGGTGAGAAAACAAATGCAAAAAAAATAACTCTGCAGTTTAGAAACAAAACAACTCAAATGATGGCTCGCGCACCTTCAACGAGCCAGCTGGGTGTGGCTTGGAGCCCTTGCTCCAATATGTACAAGTTGGCAGACGTCGCTGCACGCGGGACGATCCCGAATCAAGGCCTCAGACCTTGATTGGACTCGGAAAAGTGGAGGTGAGCCACGGTCAATATTTGTGTTCCCGAGACACAGGAACTTGGTGACTGAGCTACCCCCCATTTCCTAATGCTCACTCCCTTTACTACACAGGAAATGCCGACCGTTGCTCGGGGAAAAGACTGGTCAAGAGTTCGGCTCGCACTGCAAACTTTGCAGTGCATTCCCAGCAAAAATGAGACCTGGTCACTTGTCAACCGTACTGTACAATGCAATCCGTGGGATCGGCTTTACAGCTATTAGCTTCCTCAAGTTAAAATTTGAGCTGGCTGGGCAGAAATTCGGGGTTTCACCTTCGCAGAGGTGTGACTTCAGGGTTCTGCTCAACCAGCTTGAGGTAGGGCCCCTGAGCCCGCTCACGAGATGGGTGCTCCTGGGTTTGTCTCCAAAAAGGGCGGAAAAACCCGAAGCAAACCGAGCTTCAAGCAACAGACCCGGCCTGGCACGCGGCAAGCTCCGAGATCAGGACATCACCTGGAGACCCTCTGATCTTCCGTTCGGCCCACGTCACCCTTTGGAAGACGATTCCTTGATTCTCGACCCCAAATTGAGCTGAAAGGAATTATCCTTGCCGTCGAGAGTGCATCAAACTCCCATTTGAAGATCCCTGGACGTGGCCATCTTGAGTTGCCAAAACAGCACTCTTCGATCGGGAGCTGGGACTGGCACAGCTGCAAAAGGCGGGGCATCCTCAGCCTGCCATGGCCAGCGGGGGCTTGAGACCCAACATGGTAATAAGGGTTATGGCTCTGTGTTTGGATCCCCTCCTTTGGTGCTGGACCAACCATTCTGGGGTTCCCCTATTTTGAGACCAACCCATATATAGGCCTTACTATAAACAACAGAAACCAGGCCTTGGCGCTGCTCCAATGAATCATGTTGCTTCCCTTGTAAACCAAGAAGTCCTTTACCCTGCCATCCATGAACATGGAACCTGACCATCCTGCCAAACGATTTTCCTCAAGGAGCACTTCCTCTTTTCTGGGTTCCATGGCGTCCTGTGGACGGAAGGGTAGGTTTGACGCATCCCCCCCACGGTTCTCGCCTCGCTGTCCTCGTCCAGCTTGAACTCTTCCAGGGTGAACTCGGGCCTTGGGAACTCCTAGCTAATGGAAGCTAAACCGCAAACCTCCTTTTGTCTTCAAGGCGATTCCGCACCATATGTTGGCAAACCCAAAAGGGCATAAGGCACCCTGGTCAAGCTCCATGTGTCTGAGTCTTCGCGAGCGGGTTGAAAATCGTGTGGGTGGACCCCTTTCTTCTTTGCTGTGGGTTCAGAATTCTGAGACTCTCCCCAAACCCCGTAGAGGTCCGTCAAACCGGGGGCTAACCCCAAATGCTAGCCCCTTCGGCTCTCAGATTCACATAGTATCGCCAATTCTATATCTAGTATTGCCCCAGTGCTTCATTTAGCATTGCCCGGTCTACATTGAATAGTTGCGAGGCTTTCTCTCAGATTCCCGGTATTCAACTCTGATTCTCAGCACTTGATCTAGTATTGCAAATTCGCATTTGTCTTGCCAGAATTTACTCTCAGTACTCAGTACCCCCCAAACAAGTTCGACATTAAAGTGAACCACGAAACAGTCAGAACAGAATCAGGTATTCCGGTACTTGATCCTAATCTAATATTGCCAATACTTGATCTTAAATTCCGAAAACTACATTCAGTGCTGCCAATACTCAACTAGTGTTGACAATACTGAATCTTAGGTTCACAATGCTAAATTCAGTATTGCCATTGCTATACTTACCATTGCCAATACTGAATCCTAGGTTCACAATGCTAAATTCAGTAATGTCATTGCTAAACTTAGCATTGCCGATACTCAATCTCTAATTCCTAGGTTCGCCTAGGTTGCCAAGAACATGCGGAGTCATGATAACGAAGCACAAGCAAACAATGGCATGACCCACTTGACGGAAAATGAAAGACTCCCCTGTTCGAAAATGAATTGGTAGGACCTAGCCCCCAAACCAAGAAATCTGTACTAAACTTGCGTGGGCTTGGGCTAGCCTCAAAAGCTACCTACCTCAAGCGCAAACAAAAAGTCGACACCAAATAGAATGAGGGTGCTAACTTTCTCAGCCAAAATCAGAAACTGAAAATTAAAATATTCAAGTTTTCAGGTTGGTAACACACACTTGAACTCCAGATGGAGAGTGCTAATCTTTCGAGTACAACTGATGAGTCTCGAGTACAACCGACAAGTCTCGAGTATGATGAGTTTCGGCTCTCAATACACTTGGCTTCCCTCTAGTGTCGAACACGTTACGAGCAAGAACAAGAAGCACAAACAGCGAGCGAAAGGAGAGGGCCAAATAGACTTTCAGAATCACGCAAATGTTGCAGGTACGCACAGGTGATCAATCCGTGCATCCACCATCAAGCATAGCTTCGTTGGCCAGCGTTTGCTTGATGGCCGCTGGCCCCCTGCTGCGAAACCGAAAGGGTGGTGACAGGGCATTCTGTCACTCCGCACACACACGCCCCTCTACGAGGGGCGAGGTTTCTCTTTTCTCCTGCAGGAAGATCACATGCTCAAACTCAAATCACTATCGTTGGCCAAAATATCCACCACGGCGAGGGGAGCGAGACACTGCCCTAAACCGCTCAGAAGACGGGAACGAAAGTTCACAACGTTGAGCATTACGAGTGTCGCCATAGAGGACTGAAGCGATTTGCGAAGCAGCCGGGCGATCACCATGAGAAAACGGAATGGCATAGGTGAAGGTCTCCTCGACTTGAACGGCATCGGAGTTCCGACCTTGACCAAGAGTCTGATCATGTGAACAGTGAGTTGCGAAGGACTCAATCCGAGACAGAATGCGCTGGTACCCTTGGTGTTGCCAGTCACGGATGTCCCATGCCTGGACTGGCGCTTCGGGATCCGTCACCCGCTGCCATTCACGAAAAGAGTTTTCAGGTAGATCAGGTACGGCGTCACCACGGTGCCATCGTTGAGGTTGTCCCGGAGTGTAAATCCGCACCCACTCCTGATCATGCCAGACCGAATATTCGAGCCATGGATACTGCTTGGAATCATCGATGTCCATGTCGAGGCAAGAGGCAAGGATGGTCGCGGGCTCCGATCCAGCTAGTAGGTGGACAAGCACCATGCACAACCATGTTCAAACAACAGCAAAGCAAGATCATGCAAGTGTAGAGATCACCCTTATTTTGTGCGCTGCGCTGCTCATGCAAGGCTAGTCTTCAGTGAGCTCGAAGACGGGCCTCATCTTGTCTTGGCCGCTACCGGACGGATTCACGGGCGTGTAGGGGTCGGAGACCCCAATCGTCTCCGATGGTGTGTTGCCACGCGATGCACGTACTGGTTGATGAGGATGAGAGGTCATACGTGCGCGGGCCGTCAGTTGTTGAGAAATCCCCTCCTGGAGACGAATCAGTTCCTCAGTGGAGAAATCAGCCGCATCCGAGGACCTGAGAATCGCGTCTAACAGCTCAGGCGACATACTCAACGACGCAGACTGCGTGGCCACGTTATGGTGATCGGAGGGATACATGGAATCAAATTCATGACCGTCGTGAGGAGCAGCGATTCTCCGATAGCCCTCCGTGGCCCAGTCTCGCTTGTACCACGTAGTGACTTGGACTTGCCCTTCAACTGAGTCCTGGTTAGGAGCATAGAACTCCCGCCATTCTCTGAAAGTATGCGGAGGAGGTGGAGCATCCTGTTCTTCCTGAGGCGTCCATGGTCCCGGATGAAAGATCTTGACCCACTGGGCATCAGGTTGTTGAGGGTCCGGGCACCATTCCAGCCACGGCATGACAACGCAACCACGGAAAGTCAAGTTGATAGGTGTACGGCTGCAGACAACAACGAGTGAAAGCAAATCAACAATCAAAACGCAAAAGACCACTTTTGTAGCACTGTGCGGCGCCAACATCACAGTCAGACTCTCCAGGGAGGCGAGGACGGGCATCAGCTATCATGTGAATTGGATGATGCCGAAGAGGAGGTCATTCCAGCATACATGAGGTCCGGCGCACCCGAAGCGAAAACTGGCCTCGCTATGCTGGGATGTGGACGACCCAGGCGTTGGTACCCTCTGGTGACCCAGTCCCTGTAATACCAAGTGTAGAAAGTGGCGTGGGATACCGGTTGCAGAGCCGTGCCTATAGTTGTGCCGCCAGTGCTTTCCCTGGGCCAGTACACTTCGAAGTGGTAGACCTTGCGCCATTCCCGATAGGCGGTCGGGTCATCCGGGGCCGGTCCCAGGGTGTCAGGGGCTACTGGATGCCACTGACCCGGCACATAGATTCGAATCCATTCCACACTCGTTCCTGCTGGTCCATTGACGATGTCATAGTCAAAATAGCGAGGTAGGATCCATCCTGCTGCACCCTGCACCGTACTATTGAACATTTCAACCCGACAAGCTGCTCAAAGTTATCACAGAGAGCGGCGGACACATGGAGACAACATGCACAGCACCAAGCAAGGCAACCCAATGAGAACTCACATTCAAAGCACGCACAACCTCATCTTTATCCAACATGCAACTCAAGAGTCAATCCGAATTATTCCAAGGATCATGGAATGGTGGCGGTGACGGTTCCCGCCACGCTCCATCAGGTACCGACGAGCCCACCGGGACTCGATGTCTGCGTTGGCGAGCATCGCGAGTCCGATGGATTGGACAGGAGGTCCAAGTCGTTGGTACCCTCGCGTTTGCCAGTCTCGGTACTCCCACACGTGATAGGACACATAGGCACTGGGCGTGGCAATAGGATCCATTGTGGTGCCTCCGGTGCTGTCTTCAGACCAGTACACTTGGAAGTGGTATGATCTGCGCCACTCCCGAAATGTGGAAGCGTAAAGTGGGTCCGGAACTGGCGCTTCCTCCGGAACGGGCCTCCAAATGCCCGGAGAGTAAATTCGAATCCATTCCACTCCTCTGTCGATCTGGTACTCGAAATACTGGGGGTTCATAGCAGCAATACGGGCTTGCACGACTGCTAAACAAATCGAAAGTCTGCGGCAAGGACACACATGCATTGCCAACCGCACACATCCACTGAGGAGTAAGGCAACTTTTCAAACACAAGGTGAAACGGGTCAGCGAGGTCTGCAATGTCTGAAACCTGGCTTTCACTGTCGTTGATGTCGCGCACACCTGCAATGATAGTGACCTGGTCGTCTACGTGCACAAGGGGAAAGACATTTCCGTCCATGGCGCAGGATAGCGTGACAGTAATGTTTGCATGTTGCCGATGGGGATCGCGATGAACGGCCAGCACGTTTGGAATGAAACACTGTGAAGGGCCGTCGAGATCGCCTCGGCGCTGAAGCTGATGCTGTCCGAGATCGTTTGGACGAGCGCCCTGGACTGCGTGGTACTTCATCACGGGAAGGGTCAGTGCTGTAGATCGAGCGGCGTGTGCGCTGCGATTTCAAAGAGGTAGGGCAGGATTGTCCGCGGGGGGCTGAGATCGAGGTGCTGCGTATCGAGGTCATAAACTGGGGGTGTAGAATCACCGGTGGTGGTGGTGGTGGTGGTGGAGGAGGTGGGAGAAGCAGTGGCAGACTTGGCGGGGCCGGAGGCGACGTAGTCAGCCGAATGGGTCTGTCGAGTAGAGCCCCGGGTCCATGAAATTGTAACCACGTCGGCTGCGCTCCATGGGTCCAGGTAATGTACGTCTGTACTACTTGTTCTGACATGATTTGAGCAACTCAGGAAAGACATCACTGCATGTCAACGACATTTCGCAACACGACAAGCAAGATTGAGTCACGTGCAAGCAAGCAAGAATCATGTGATCAACAAGTCAAACCGGACACACCGCCGCCGCTTATCATTTGGTCCATCAATGGTCGCTGCTGCATTTGCTGGGCTTGTTCCTAGCCGCGAGCCTCAAGTTGTTGATAGACCTTCCATGCCTGCTTCACTTCCTCAATCGGCTTCTGAAGAAACCGCGCAATGGTCTTATAGGTGGGTCTGGAATCCTTATCTTTCTTCCGTCTCACCATTTCATCCAGCTCGCCCTGTGTCCATGCCGTGAAAGGTTCACGGTATGCATTGCGAAGTGCAATGGTAAACTCTTGTAGAAGTTCCCGAGGACCATGAA